CCAAAATTTTGAAGATTGGACAATATTTAGTGGCACTTTTTCAGTTCCCCGTCCTTTGACCTTGAATTTGACCTTGAAATTTGACCTTGATGAAAATGGTTTTCGATGTGCGGCTAGAACTTTGCACGCGCTACATTTTGGTGCCAAAATTTTGAAGATCGGACAATATTTAGTGGCACTTTTTCAGTTCCCCCTCCTTTGACCTTGAATTTGACCTTGAAGTTTGACCTTGATGAAAATAGTTTTCGATGTGCGGCTAGAACTTTGCACGAGCTACATTTTGGTGCCAAAATTTTGAAGATCGGACAATATTTAGTGGCACTTTTTCAGTTCCCCGTCCTTTGACCTTGAATTTGACCTTGAAGTTTGACCTTGATGAAAATGGTTTTCGATGTGCGGCTAGAACTTTGCACGCGCTACATTTTGGTGCCAAAATTTTGAAAATCGGACAATATTTAGTGGCACTTTTTCAGTTCCCCGTCCTTTGACCTTGAATTTGACCTTGAAGTTTGACTTTGATGAAAATGGTTTTCGATGTGCGGCTAGAACTTTGCACGTGCTACATTTTGGTGCCAAAATTTTGAAAATCGGACAATATCTAGTGGCACTTTTTCAGGTCCCCGTCATTTGACCTTTAATTTGACCTTGAAGTTTGACCTTGATGAAAATGGTTTTCGATGTGCGGCTAGAACTTTGCACGCGCTACATTTTGGTGCCAAAATTTTGAATATCGGACAATATTTAGTGGCACTTTTTCAGTTCCCTGTCCTTTGACCTTGAATTTGACCTTGAAGTTTGACCTTGATGAAAATGGTTTTCGATGTGCGGCTAGAACTTTGCACGCGCTACATTTTGGTGCCAAAATTTTGAAAATTGGACAATATTTAGTGGCACTTTTTCAGTTCCCCGTCCTTTGACCTTGAATTTGTCCTTGAAGTTTGACCTTGATGAAAATGGTTTTCGATGTGCGGCTAGAACTTTGCACGCGCTACATTTTGGTGCCAAAATTTTGAAAATCGGACAATATTTAGTGGCACTTTTTCAGTTCCCCGTCCTTTGACCTTGAATTTGACCTTGAAGTTTGACCTTGATGAAAATGGTTTTCGATGTGCGGGTAGAACTTTGCACGTGCTACATTTTGGTGCCAAAATTTTGAAGATCGGACAATATCTAGTGGCACTTTTTCAGTTCCCCGTCCTTTGACCTTGAATTTGACCTTGAAGGTCAAGGTTTAGGGGTGAATGGGTTCGATTTTCGTGATCCTCATGGTCCAATTGACCTTGGACGAGGTTTTGGCTAAAATCGGTGCTCGTCGCTGGAAAAGTCGCTGGCGACGTCGCCAACTTCACGGACATAAAAAGCTTGGACAAACTCGCTCACATACTCACATACTCACTCACTGACAAACAGGTTCAGCCGAACTTTTTTCAGCGACCCACCAATGGGAATTTCCGGATGCAAAAGCATGCTATCGCATGCTTTTGATCCTCCAATTCTGGACTAACAGACTGAACCCGCAACAGCTAAATACTGGACCCATGACACAGTAGGGAGAGCTGGCATCCCCCAAGGAGGCAAACTTACATGAAAAGCCGTCGTTCGGACGGGATTCTGAGGACCGCTGGCACTAATTGCACCTGATGGACGTCGCCAGCTGCCGCAGGCTGACATTCTTTACCGGCTGGCTCATTTGCCACTGGTTACCACATTACTGGCTCACTTGCCACTGACTTGTCACTGGCTGAGCGGTTACTGCCCAATCCCAATAAGGGATTGGATCCAATAAGGAAGGGGTCCCAATAACCCCTTCCTAGCAGTAACCGCTCAGCCAGCCTGGTTCCATTCACGATTGCCCTCACATGGTAGAGCTCTGCAACTGGAAGAATGGAAGTACAAAGGTCGCGTGCCATTGGTCGACGCTTGATTGAGGTGACACAAAATACAGTGACGCATAAAGCATAAAGGGGTGTAGCCAAGGGTATAGCCAAGGCCCTATATACGGGTATAGCGAAGGTGTAGCTTGAGGTGTAGTGCAATTCTTTAGTGCAATTGGATATATCCTGTGTGCCCTAACGATGCGAACCGTTTTGGATTTTAATCAAGGCAAGCTATTTTAAATCTGCAGGTTCATAATTATTCATTCTGCATTGTTGTGATAAAGAAAACATGCCGCGGGAACACGTAAGAAACCCTCTGAGCTCACTCTTTATGTTCTGTATAGCCTTTAACCCACGGTCATATGTTTTAACCTCATGGCGGGGTTGTAGGAAAATATTTTAAGCGCTGCGGTACAGTCTAGATTCAGGCGCTGATTCCTAGTGCCATCTAGCGGTAGTATTTTAGCTAGCGTCGCAGTCACTTGGTCAGCCCACTGCAGACCGGTTCGACACGATATATGGCCTTGGGTTCGACAAGATGACAAGTAATATTGGGTTCGACAGGTAATTCAGGACAAATGTCAGCAGCCGGACGTGACAGGGAGCTTAACCGTCTCCTTCCCGAGTGATGCTCCATCCCCTGGCCCTGACGGTACTCTTTTTCGTTGGGAGCCGTATCTTTTGGCACCAGGGGCATGTTTATTGTTAGGTCAGGTCAGATCAATGATCTATGACACCATGTGCTAAGCCCGATGCACGGCTAAAAAAATGTCACGTCTCTGCAACACTTTTATTGTCAGCCGAAACCTCAAACCAGGTGCTAGAGGTCCCTCTAAAATTATTTGAGGGCCTAGCTCAGTTCGCAGAGGTCCACCTGTCAGGGGCCGCAATATCCTGAAAGGCCCTCAAAATGATTCCTGGGTGAGAGGCCCTATTTACGTGCGAGAAGGTCGCTCGAGGAGGGCCCACAGCGGCTTCTTGTTGCCCTTTACTAATCTGGAAAGATCTCACACCGGATCTCAGACCGGTCTGAAGGGGTTCAGGAGGTGTTGGTACTCAGTGATCCCATATTTTCCCTAGCTCTCGAGCCCCCTGACGTAATCAATCGATCGTGGCAGAGCTATCGGACTTTGCACCGTTGATATGATATAGCGTCCTCGGTACTGTCAATGACCACTCTGCTGATTGGGATCATGTGATGAATGGAGATCAGTGTGTGGAGGTAGAGGGTGCCGTTCGTGCTGAGTCCTGAGCGGGCGTCAGCCCCGGTAAACGGTGAGTCGGAGAGAACACAGCGCTACCGAGCGAAATTACTACACGGGAGGGGGTTGGGACACTATATTAGGTATACCATCAGCCTTTAGCTTCAACTGTGCAGAAAACGTATCATGTGTGTCGGATCACCCGTGTGGTTTGTGACCCATACGGTTACTACCTGGGACGTGTAGCAAGATTCGTACCAATATAGTGCGCAACAAGTTGGGATGAGGTGCATTCAAAACGGTTGTGCTACGCGTCACCGCTTTTTTGCATGTATGTATGTCAGACCTGCCCTTTAAACTATGCAGCGTCGCGAATCAATTCATAAACTTTGTGTGAAGTACTTGAGGACGGTTATAGCTTCATTTCTAGGTGGTAGCGGTGAAAAACAGGCGCAGTCCGCTGGCCTTTACACTGAGAGTCGAAGGTACGGCTGTTATCTAAACACTGAGGCGCTCGGGCCGTGCCGGGTCCGGGCTGGCCGCCAGTGGGACCCGCGCAGTGCTCGGACTGATACGGCACTGGCGCAGCAGCCAGTCGCAGTCGCCGTCCTTACGCCGCTAGTGCTCCGACCGGTACGTCGCACGACAGCGCCCAGGATCGTCATGGAGTTTTGTTCATACTGTGGCTAGCAGAAAAGTAGCATTGATTATTGCCAAAGTGAAACTTCATTGACGTGAGTTGATCGTTTTTATCGCAGCTTCTCTTACAAAAGTTTAATGTCTATGTCCAGCTTCCGGAGATTCCAATCACATTGCCTTGTAAATGCCATGTAGGAATTTCTTGTCAGCTTTGACCACACAGGAGCTCAATAAGTCTGGTCAAGCGGCCAATATCATGGCTTATTTGAGGCGCTGACGGTCACGGAGACTCTCAAGATCCGATTTTGAACGTAACTTATATGACAGCACATGAAGAGAAATGAACACCCGATCATCAGCAGCTGCTCCCTCTCCTTAGGCTCAGGCGGTAGGTACCCTCCTTTTTACTTCCCGAGCTGGCCGCTGGGCCGTCTCTGACTGTAGTTCCTGGTTTACGCATAGGTACGCTTAGCTATAACATCTTTATTACTTTATCAGGATATACGACTACAAGATCTAACTCAAGTGGTCGTTAATCCTGCCCACGATTAACTTCTTTCTTGGCCGGTCTCTCCCAGCGTTCCTCCTGACGTTTCCGGAATCAGCCCCGTGTCTGTCGCTAGAGGCGATGGCCGTAAACACGGCGTCTTGCCGACCGTATCTGGAGAGGCCGCCAGTACCCACCGACACGCACTGGCTGTCAGAGATGGATGACTCAGACTCAGAGGAGGCACCGCAGACTCGTACCCACATGGAGGGGTCACTGGCCCGTGCGCACGTGGTTGGCCGGTTTCCGAAAGTGACTGACCGCGAGTTAGCGCCGTGGCGATTGGGTCGGGCCGTGTCGAACAGCCGTACCCTCATCCCTCCCATGTCCGGCTGATGACCTTACGGAGAAGCGAGCGTGCACTTGGGTGTGTGCCTAGTACTGTGATTTGTGAATATCTGCTGGTGATGAATGAGGTCTCATTTACGTCTGGTTGTGGTCTGATTGAGGTTCGATTGTGGTGAATGAGGTTTGAATGAGGTCTCAATGAGGTCTGAATTAGGTCTGATAGATCTGATTATAACTCGTACAAATCAGCTACACCGGACTGGTATTCATGAGCGTCGTAACCGACATGTTCGCGTGGTTGGAGGTGGACGTTATGCCATCAGCAGTTATTGATTTCAACCTGCTGGTAAGGACATACAGTGTTCACCCGTCTCGGGGCTCTCCACAGTTCCGCTGCAGAATCAAGACTGTACCCATGTTCCTGACTTTGGTTCTATGTTGTTTCAGGCAAATCGTGCCGAAGTTTCCGGACACCTAGAGAGGCTAAAGGCTGACCTAGAGCAGGCGCTGCATGACAAAGACGACCTCCAGGAAGTACTGGATATCCGAAAGTGGTATGTATTTACGCGTTCGAAGCAAAGAACAGTACACTGGCACATTTTAAGCGCATATTCATAAATGGCTTTAAATTTGGAGAACCACTCTGGATGTTTGTGTTCATGAACATGAGTTGGGAAAACGCCTGTAGTGGTATCTGTAGTGAACTGGATGCCTGATTTCATTTCTTTCGGCAATGAGCTATAGACCTCACCTGTCCATCTACCCATAGTGAACTTGAGGAGAGCCAAGCGGAGGTGGCCAGGCTCCGGTCGGAGGTCGGCCGACTCAGGGCCACGCTGGGGGTTCACCCGCCCGCCGCTGGCAGGCACCAGGTGAGATACTGCGGGGAGGGCATACAGTTCGGAGCTCGTCCTGAGCCCTCTCATTAATTTACATGTTATAAAGGGGCACTGGTAAATTTGCCCAAAAGGGGGAGGTTCGCTGGTGAATGGCCTACAACTGCGTCTGATTTCAATTGGGCCTGGCGAGAGCCGGTAAGCTCAGCAGACCGCTGACGTCTTTGCGTTTTATCTGCAGCAGGAGGCGCCTGCCGAAGTCCACCGGTTGCGGAAACACTGCCGTGACCTGGTCGACCAGCGCAACGAGGCGCTCGCCGAGCTCGCCCGCGTCAAGGTCACGCTGATGGAGGCGATGGAGAACCAGGTGACAGAGGCGAAGGAGGTGACGGCCGAGCGTGCCGAGGGCGAGCGGCTGAGCAGCACGCCGGCCGCTGTTGTGGAGGTACCGCCATCTCCCCCTCCTCCGACCGTCAACCGACAGCCGATCAATTCGGCGGCCAGTCGCCGGCTCCAGGACCAGGTCAGTAGCCAGTTCAACTTCGCTAAACTTCCAACAATGTCGATCTCAATCTACAACAGTGCTTAAATACCAAACTGCAATAATATGGGGCCGCAGATTGTCAATTTGTAGGTCATTTTGAGCGATGTTTTCAACATTTTAGCCTTCAAAATGTTGGAGATGGTAATCAGTAATTGCTGTCAGCACCCAGTTTGAGTGTTGCTGTAAGAACGCGCCGCTGTTGTCGCTGGCTGTTGACGTGTATACCGATCTGTTTACGCGCCCGTCTGTCACCAGCTGGAGGAGCGGGACCAGCTGATCAGTGATCTGCAGGCGCACCTGGCCAGCGCCCGGAACGAGGTGGCGCTCAAGGACGAGACGCTGGCGCGGCTGGAGGGCAAACTGGAGACCACGCGACAGGAGCTGAGCGCGACTGGCGAGCGACTCGCCGGGGCAGAAGGCGAGCGGGCAGCGCTCACCCAGCAGAACCAGATACTCGCCAACCAGGTGGGCCGGCGTGGGAGAGCTAGAAAATAAACACAGGACATACGAGAATTAGATACTGTCCGAACACACGACACACGAGAACCAGACACTGTCCAGAGTCCAGACACATGGCATACGAGAGCCAGATACCATCCTGACAGGTGGCCAACACCCAAATTTAATGTGAAAATCTTAGTTCCAATGAAAATGAATTCAGGGCCAGCGCCTCAAATCTAAACGCTAAGTCGCCAAGCCAAGTGCCCTACTTGCAATGAGCTCTTGTGCCAGTGAAGTGACTGCAGTCCTTTTTATCGTTCTATGCCGTACAGTTAGTCGAGCTCGCCTCGCCTCCGTGTCCCCTGTCCGTGGTGTTGTAAGAACGCGGACTGTTCAGCGGCGTTGTGTCTTCAGGTACGTGAGCTGCAGCTGCGGGCTGAGGAAGCCAGCGCCGTATCACGCCGACTCGAGTCCGAGGCCGACCAGCAGATGGCGCAGATCACAGATCTGCAGGAGCGGCTGCTGGCCTCAGAGACCAGCGGCAAACAGCTCACCGCCAGCTGCGTGGAAAAAGACGTCCAGGTAACCGGCCTCGCTGACAGGCAGCCTAGATCAGATGCACAAACTGTACTCATTTAACTATTTTCATCTAGGGTATGAATATACAAACGGCTGATACTGCTCAAACTTAAAGTAATATCGGTTCTTTAGGCTTCATTTATTCGAGGAATGAATTGCATCCTCTCATTCAGAATGTCTTGGTTCTCGCCATCCCGCCCGATATCTCCGTGTCCGTATGATATCTCGGTATCCGTCCAATGTCCCGGAGTCCGTCCAATATGCCAGTATCCATCCGATATCTCGGTATTCTTCTGATATCCCGGCGTCCCTCTTATGTCCCGGTGTCCGTATGAGATCTCGGTATCCGTCCAATGTCCCGGAGTCCGTCCAATATGCCGATATCCATCCGATATCCCGGTATTCTTATGGTATCCCGGCGTCCCTCTTATGTCTCGGTGTCCCTCTGATATCCCGGTGTCCGTCTGATATCCCGTCTGATATCCCGGTGTCCGTCTGGTAGCCCATCTAGTATCCCGGTCACTCGTCCGATGCCCCGCTGTTCCGGTCTGATATCCCTGTATCCGTGTCTCGCCGTCAGATCGGCCAGCAGTGGACCACCATCAGCTCGCTGCGGGAGGCGCTGCTCGAGTCCAAGCAGCAGCTGGAGCAGCTGCAGCCGGCCGCCGGCTCGTCCTTCTTCGGCGGCCTGCTGGGCAGCGCGGTGAGACGCGACGTGCGAGACGTCTAGCTGTCGCAGTTCTCTTCCCGCGACTGTCGTAGTTCTCTTCCCGCGACTGTCTGCTCTCGGTGCGTGTCTGACTGCGCCTGCTGCGTGGCACTCCACTAACCGGCTCGACGCTCTCTGACGAACGGTACCCGGAGGCGGCGCGGCCGCTGGGAGACGACTGAGAATGACCGCTGTTTTACCGCTGGAAGGCCGATGTTTGACCGCTGATATTCCGTTGTTGTGCCACCGGGCGACCGCCGACTGCTCTGGTGTTCAGCGCCCTACCGTGTGCCAACAAGGGGCGCATATAGGCGAGCCAAGTCATTTATTTACCTTTGAGACACTTGTTCAAGCGTGGCACGGCATAGTCGACTCCTACATAGTACAGCTAGCAGGCAGCGATGTTGTATGGCCAGTGAGGATTTATTGCCGCTGGTAAGCGGTCACCTATGTCATGAGTAGATAACCGTTTTAAGAGACGTTCGGTAAAGCTGAATCAACGCCTTTGGGCGTTGGATGCATACGTGTGATCGATACGAATGTGATGTTATTTTACTGGTGCTAGCATAATTTATTGCACTCGTGGAATTTGTTTTCGTGCAGTCAACGCACTTATGAGTTAACAGTTATTGGTGTCTTGGGGTATGTGTACGCATGAGAACGCGAGAGCGAGAGCGAGAGCGAGAGCGAGAGCGAGAGCGAGAGCGAGAGCGAGAGCGAGAGCGAGAGAGAGAGAGAGAGAGAGAGAGAGAGAGAGAGAGAGAGAGAGAGAGAGAGAGAGAGAGAGAGAGAGAGAGAGAGAGAGAGAGAGAGAGATGCTGTGTGTTGTTTGTTTGTGTTCTACAATTGTTACGATGAACGTCGGTGCCAAAAACGGTGCCAAAGCGTCTACATGTGTCATGTTTGTGACTGGATCACAATAAACGTACCTGTCCCCTCTCCAGCGTGTTGCATCATTGAGATTGCCGGAGTGGTGTGAACTAAGTTACTAAACATCCGCATGAGTAGAAATTTTCGATCGCATGCCTAACCATTTGAATTGTGCACTAGGTAACGTTTCGGTTTTGACATGGGTGTTGCGACGGGTATTTCACCAAACGTTACTTAGAAGTAGAAAAAAACTTCTTCGAACTTCTCAGCGAACGCACCATTTGAAGGTCTTCTCCCCACATGCAATTTGTATTGTAGTTTTGTTGTAGTTTTATTATTGCGTCACCTTCAAATGACCATTAAACGGACCACGCACATTAGTGTTACTGACTAGCTTCCGAATGTCCCAGCTGTTTATCGCCAGGTCATTCCCCTCTCCCATCCCATTTAGGTCCGTGATCAGCGCTGGATACCGGCACAGTGATGCCAAACTCGTCTAATCTTATCCAATGCTGGCTACACGCTGCGGTGGCCGCTATACAGCGAGCGTTACCCACGGTGAGCGGCGATGGTCGTGGCGTCATTCAGTGCTGGCGGCACCTGTGGGCTGTGACTGCCACTTGTGACAGTCAGCTGTGGTCGTTACCTGCGCAGTCCGCCGACTTCAACCATGTGTTAGTTTGAGCGCGGGCTCTGACACAAACTCAGCGCTAGAGTACAGCACAGCCGTCCGTCCGTACCGGAATAGCTGGCTGGTGGTGCCGTCTCTACTGTCGAACGGTAAGGGTTTATCCCTCTCTTTTCCTGCGTGTGCTGCTGCCTTCTAAACTCTCATCAGCTGTTATCGACCCGGTGTGTTGCCTGTACCGGCTAGCGTTCTGACCACATCTAGCACAGCTGAGCGACGTCTGTCGTGCATACTGCCTACTGGAGAGGTAAGGTAGGCGCGAGAGAGAGAGAGAGAGAGAGAGAGAGAGAGAGAGAGAGAGAGAGAGAGAGAGAGAGAGAGAGAGAGAGAGAGAGCGAGAGCGAGAGCGAGAGCGAGAGCGAGAGCGAGAGCGAGAGCGAGAGCGAGAGCGAGAGCGAGAGCGAGAGCGAGAGCGAGAGCGAGAGCGAGAGCGAGAGCGAGAGCGAGAGCGAGAGCGAGAGCGAGAGCGAGAGCGAGAGCGAGAGCGAGAGCGAGAGCGAGAGCGAGAGCGAGAGCGAGAGCGAGAGCGAGAGCGAGAGCGAGAGCGAGAGCGAGAGAGAGAGAGAGAGAGAGAGAGAGAGAGAGAGAGAGAGAGAGAGAGAGAGAGAGAGAGAGAGAGAGAGAGAGAGAGAGAGAGAGAGAGAGAGAGAGAGAGAGAGAGAGAGAGAGAGAGAGGAACATTTACCGTCTGTTTCCCGACTGTCTTTCTTAGTTTATTTATATTTTCAGAGCCCGCCGGGCCGTGACGCCCGCCGCCAGCCGCTGACATCCCATAACCAGCCACAGCAGCAGACAGTCAGTCGTCAGTCTCCCAGTAAACCCTGGCAGCGGAACGCAGAGTCTCGGAGACTGACGGAGCTCGGCTCGCAGATAGACAGACTGATCATGGAAAAACAACACCAGCACTCCATGGTAAATCGGCATCGAAATGGTTACCGTCCTGATGCAGCCGTTCTGATTTTCTTGGTCAGTTCAAGCTTGAGTTATGCCGAATACGGTCCAGTATCAAGTCATCAATGGACAACGTAACAAACTTCCGACTGTTCGATCAAAGAGAGTCACTAATATTTGGTATCGCATCAACAGATTCGTGACCTGCGTTCTGACCTGGCCGCCTCTGGTGGCGGTGACGGGTCAGGGGCGACTCAGCGCAGCAGTACGGAGCAGCGAGGGAACACAGCTCCCTTCACTAGCGACCCACCCGAGCAGAGGGACCGGCACAGCCCACAGGTGGGTCACAGACGGCGGCCCGGTCCTTCAACAGGCGAGCTCCTGCCTCGAATAGGCCCGGCCAGCTCAGCCAAAGGACGAGGTTCGATCCTCGATGGAAAAACATGACAGTATCCTACAAACTATTTCGATGTTAAAACCGTGGATTTTTGTGCACGACTCAGCGTCGTATGTGATTTCCGCATGAGCTGCAGTGTCGGACGGCAGCTGTTGACTCCATGTGTCCATGTATCTCAGACCGAGCAGCCGGCAGCCGACCCGTCCGGCCGCCTTCAGGCCCAGCTCGCCGAGACGCGCGCCCAGCTGGCAGAGACGCTGGCCGGTCAGGAGCACGTGCACGCGCAGGCCGACCTCATCGTGGAGCTGGTGTCCGGCTGGGTAACCGAATGGCGCGCAGAGAACGGCCGGCTGACGAGACGGGTCGACCAGCAGGCCGACACCATCGCCGCCCTGCAGACGGAGAACAGGTGACCAGCAGTGACGTCCGCAGCTCACTATTATCTTCTGTCGATGGTCTTGTCTGTTATCCAAACGTTATTTGATGTTGGATCTCTCATACAACTTGCATCTCAAATTTCAGCATGCATCGCCATCTAGGAGCTTTTCGAATATCTGATGGAACCAATCATTCAGCCCCTTTCCTTCCATAACTCGACGTCGTATTTGTCGATGACCGTAGACCTCTGGTGTCGGCGACGCCATGTTTCAGGCACCTGTCGGACCAGCTGTCGGCGCTGCTCGGCCGGGCGTCGGGCTCACTACCGGTCACAGCAGCCGAGCTCTATCCGCTGGCGTTCGATGACCGGCGGCCACACCCAACCACGCTGCCGGGTGGCTGCGGCGGACACCGGTGCCGCGAGCACAGGGGAGGTCCTCAGTCCTTTACACGAGACTTTGAAGGAGTTCAGTTCTTCACAAGGAGCAACGAGGGCCCTCCGTCGTTCCTCCGGAGTCAAAACCAAGGCCCTCCATCCTTCCGCGACCACGAGGGCCCCCAGTCCTTCAACCGGGACCATAACGAAGTTCAGCCACCAACGAACAAGCAGATGGAGGGTACCAGCTATGCCAGGTGCATGATGCCCCAGGTGAGCGAGTATACGTATCAGCCGTGAAAGATGTGAGATCACACCAACAGTAATCCATGGAATCTCTGGAGCATAGGATGGGGGTAATTTACTTTATAATGGACCATTCCGATGTCAAGCCTTTGCATATTTGTGTCAAGACATTTCTCGTTACCTGTGTGGCAGATGTATGTTCTATTATAGTTCTCCCGTCCAACTGACGGTATCTCCCCGTCTGTCCCCGCAGCCGGAGACCCGAGCCGATCTCTCCCGAAGGCTGTGCGCCGACGCCGGCTGCCAGGCGCCGCGTGCCGACCAGGTGCCCACGCGGGACGGAGCTGGAGCCGACCACCGGCGCACGGGTGGTCTGATCGGAGAGGACGACCGACACGGGCCGGGCGTCTGGCGAGCGGAGACTTAGGCGGCCAGAGGGAGAGAGGAGGGAGGAGAGGGGAGGGAAAAGAGTGGAAGGGAGCAATGACATTTACCAAAGATAGCGTGAACAGACCATTACGCAGTTCATGTCATTCGTGCTTTTGTCAATCAGGTAGAACGAGGGAGCGTCAAATAATTTGTGCTGGCAATATAACTAAGTACTTTTAAAGGGGGTTTAATGACTTGCTAAGCCACTGAAAAAGTACGTCATAGCGAGCTTTAGGTTGTGGTGAGCCGGTGACGCTGGTTCTTCATCACCAGACTTCTGTAGGTATGTACTTTTATACAACACGCATAATATACGATACCAACAGCGGCCTCGGCCGTTTGACTGTTAGCGGAAAGTATCGGAAAAATAATGTTTTTTCTTTGAACGGGACACCACTTCCCTCGCTGAAATACTAGCATAAAAGAAGCTTACATATTATCACCATATATTAGCTTTGTATATCTTTCTCACCCAGCCTCTTTTCAATAAGTCGAACATTTACACGGGGCCAGCTACATAACTACTATAGTTGGTTTGTGGCGATACCGTTGGAAGGAAAAGAACGAATAGGTCTTTTTAGCATGAAAAAAACACTAAGGCAAATACGAAAACAACAGAAAACTGCACCATTTAGTCACTACTATACGATATTGAACTAAAACGCATCAGAATATAGATATTGCATTAATACAGTTGGGTGGCAAATGTTTGCGGACCAAGAAAAGCAACCGTAACCTGATTTGGAACCATTTACGCAGCACACTTCATCCGTACTTCCCTGCTTCAAGCAACACCGTAAGAAACATAAGAACATGGTTTCGTTAATAAATGGGCGAAATGAGACACATTTGATGATGATGTTTACAACAAAGGCTGGACCAATAATGAACACTATAAGCTGAAGTCCATATTTTCACATTTCAGTGACCACTGCCAACAGCTGTGACTTGATCAGATGATAGGCATTAGGCATTCCTAATCGTAGTCGACCCAAGCAGCTCCTACCACCTATCGGGCTGCAATGGATCACTAACGAAGGCAGCCAACTTCAATGGCCCCACTCCTAGACGGTAGCGACTCCGATCATTGACACCTGTGACGAGTACCTATGGCTCCCATGGCCAAATCAAGTCACTGTGATAGTAAAGGTCAATGTGAATGGAGGCCAGCTCCATTGGTAGGCTGGTGACGATAGCCATCTGTCCTAGCTCTTATTGTCAGTGATCAGCAGACAGCACTCCGATGATAGCCACAGCCGCTAGCAGGCACCGTGAATGGTACCGAGCTACAGTAAATCCCCCAGCACCTGCCTGTCTCATGTCTCCGCCGAGCGGGTCTTGATGAGTGTCCAATGGTCAGCCTGCCTCATGTCTCCGCCGAGCGGGTCTTGCAGTGTCCGATGAACTGGCTGACCAGATCCTCGCCGCCGGCACTCCGCATCGTGCCCGTGATCTCCTCGTCCTCAACCATGGGCAGAAAGAGCTGCACGAAACTGGTCGAGTAGGGCGGCGCCATCATGTCCAGCACCTCCGTCACGAAGTAGCGGATCAAAGAGATGTCCGTGTCCGACTTTTGCCAGCAGGTGCGGATGTACTTGACGACGGGCAGCACGCATCCCCGGCTGAGCAGGCACACCATGCGGTCCAGCAGCATCTTGCGCATCTCGAGCTGCATCAGGATCTCCAGTTCCGACTGGTCCGACTCGAACAGCTGGATGTATAGGCCCAGCACCTGCGGAAGCGCAGATAATAGGATTAACTTCAAGTTACATCCCTCTGAGAGGTCATGCTGCTGATTGGAACAAAATGGAATGGACCAAATGCTTCTGATCGGAGCACGACATAGTCTTTTGAACGCCAGCGACATTGTGGGCAGAACGGCGGTTTAGGATCATAGTTGGTCTCAAACCGGGGGACAACTTCTGAAACGCATTTTTTAACCCTATTCCTGGCGGGGGGGGGGGCCTCAGGAGCCCCCCCCCCCCTGAGGTTTTTTGGTTATTTCTCCCAAACGCGTTGAGCTAGGAAGCTCAAATTTTCTGACTTTTCCTAAAAGGCATCTACGCAACATGTCTGAAAATTTTGAGTTGATCTGACCTCAGGTCAGGTCACCAGAGGCGGTTTGGTGACCCTACCTCAGAAAAGTTTGCAATCACGCCAGAGCTAGAGTTTTTGACGGATCAATTTCTTCTCTTCAGGCTTTAGTTAGGGTACCAGTATGTGCAATTTGTATATCTCGGAATTTTGATATCGGTGACCTAAGGTCAGGTCAGTTTCGCGACCTCCCCATTATAAGTCAATGGGGGAAAAATCAACTCCCTGTTTTTACCACTAAAACGGGTCGGAATGGCCCCATATACCATACATGACTTCATATACGATCGACCTTCACTACCTTGAGGTCTGTTTTGCTGTTGGGCAGCTGTGAGGTCATGTGACGTCATCAAAGGTCACCAAAGGGTTTTGGCCAATAACTCCGTACAGGAACAAGATACAGACGCGTGGATGGTCTCATTGTGTTCAGCTCGTCAAGACGCATCGAATGATATACATGATGACCTCGAGGTCACGTGACCTGAGGTCAACCTTTGACCTTGACCTTTCGAGGTCAACATATATATCATTCGATGCGGATTGACGAGAGGATCACGGTGATGCCCTTAGTTTGTTCCTATCTTGACTAATTCGAAAGTTATTCGAGAAAAACTCTCCATATCTAGCGCCGCCATTTTGACTTTTTCGACCCCTGTGACGTCATCTTTGACCTGACCTGAAAATGACCTTAGTAAAAATTGTAGATCTTGACCGTGCGTATCCGATGCCGTTTACCGTTTGTCGCTGCGATGTGTAGTTTTTGAGATCTGAGGGGGGGGCCGAATCGGCCCCCCCCCCCCGCCAGTTTCTTGTCCCGGCGGAGCCCGCCAGGAATAGGGTTAAAGGAAAAGGGCCACCTTTAACATGGGGATTGAAACTGAGATAGCCATCTTGTAGCCCGTGTCCGAAAACCTACCTGTCTACCTCCTTACGGCCGACTTCGGCCTCCATTCGTAGTTATCGGCAATTTTAAAAGAAAATACGCCAGGAATGCGTCCTTATCCCAGGAATGCGTTCTTATCCGACAATACAGCCACCCGCGGCGAGGCTTTGGTTTTTTACCAATCAGCTTCAACCAGCTCAGCTTTAACCAATCAGCTTATCTGACACAATCCGACGAGTCTGTCTTCTGAACGCTGATTGGCTTGAGTGTGACGTCATCGCTATGCCATCATACAGTAGGTGCCGTAGAGAGTATCAACATAGTACCAATATGTTAATTAGTTTTAAATACTTTTTCGCGAATTGTGCACTTCTGGCACCAGTTTTAAAAAGAAAATGAAAAATAATAATGTCAAAGTGAAAAACAACGATATCTTCATATTTCACGAAGGTGGCCCTTTTCCTTTAAAGGTGAATGTGACACAATGAAACGTCGGACGCCCGGTACAAAGTACCGTAGATATGATCGTTAGACCGTAAGCTTGATCGCTTTGTATATCCTACTGGGCTTATATCGACACCTTTTTTTAAACCCCACATCTGCTCTCCCGTGAATTTCCGGGAGGCACGAAAGATCTCCTTTTAAAAGTGTCCAATCGTCCGATCCTGATCAAATATGTGTATTCGTAGGCCTGTTCTGGAATTGCTTTATCTGCCAAGACAGACAAACTTGGGAAAAATCGAGTGATTGTATCTTTTTTTTAAGATCTCTAACCAACTTGTCTGAAATTCACCGGAGAACAAATGTGGGGTTTAAAAAAAGGTGTCGATATGACGGCGGTGGCTGCAGCAGTGACAGCATAGTCTCATCTTTTCATGCAGCAGCAGATGGGCCCTCACCTTTTCGTGCAGCAGCGGGTGGCAGGTGACTACCTCGTCCAGCAGCGGGTGGGCTCTCACCTTTTCGTGCAGCAGCGGGTGGGCTCTCACCTTTTCGTGCAGCAGCGGGTGGCAGGTGACCACCTCGTCCAGCAGCGCCAGGTGGATGGGCGTGTGCTCCGTGCACAGCTTGAAGAACGACGGCTCCGTCACAGTGGCTTCCACCCACTGCACCAGGCCCACCGAGACCACTGGGAACCTGGGGAGCGGGTGGAGGGCGATTAGAGGCTGCCAAATGCAGGAGTTGACAGGATAACACCTCCACCAATAACTGTATACAGTTACAACCGGTCCACTATTAGCTCCGTTCTACCTGTGGCGCAACGGCAACACACGGGAGTGACGACTCCCGAACGACACCCGGGGAACATCATTTCTTAGCATGCAACGAAAGCTATTAGAATACCACGGGACAGCTATTCCATAAGTGCACAGATTCAGGTCCACAAGTTAATATCGTCACGAGGGGAAACGAACCCTAGTAAATCAGCCGACGTTCCCACTATCGCCATAGGTCAGCTGCAGCCGTACTGCCGCCTCACCTGATGCACTGGTAGAGGGCGTTCAGCTCCGACAGAATCTCCAGCGCGCCCTTGCTGTTGGTGCAGATGCCGTGGACGCGCTCCAGCGCCTGTATAGTGGCGCGCAGCTCGTCCTGGTTGAGACTGCTGCGCTGGCCGCGCCGCCACTGCTCACACACGGAGGCCGCGTACGCCAGCAGGTAGGTATACTTGGGCCGGTGGTCGGGGTTCACCTGGCGGGGGAGGGAGCGGCTCAGAGCTGCGCGGAGTCGGGTCACAAAACGGCGCAATGGCACGACAGGGCGAGCTATGGTGTTCAAGACAACTGCAGCTTTATCAATTAACTAGTTCAAATCATTTCATATTTTGCCCCAAAACTTTGTCAGAGATCGGCCTAGCCCTATTTCGGATGCTCCGTTCTCAGTCTACGACACGGTAAGCAAAACTGAAAGAAGCATGCATCGTTACGTTTAAAGGCCTCGATTTCCGGCAACACATATGAGAAGAGCCGTGATACTGCCAGTTAGTTTGTGGTGCCACACTAGACGAGACCTCACCTTGTTTCCGGGCCGGAAGAGGGCGCCGATGAGCAGCTCGAGGAAGGTGGGCGACCTGATGAGCTCCACTGGCGGCGGGTCGGACGTGTTGTACAGCTTGTACAGCGCCGTGATGTCGGCAGGGTTCAGCGCGTTCCGAGCCAGCATCGAGGCCAGGGCGCTGGCGGCGCGCGGGTAGGCCGCCGCGCCGTTCAGCGCCAAAATAATGGGCGTCACATTCTGTCCCTGCGACACGGCGCAGCGCGTCACCTCCTGCGACAGCCGCTTGGCGTTGGCGCCGGCGCGGCCCTCCTGCGAGAGCACGTGCAGCAGCGCCTGTGTGTAGATGTACGTGTGCTGGCCGTGACAGACCATGGCGGCAAACTCGGACATATGCCGGCGAGTCTCGTCATCGGAGCGGGACAAAATGTTGGTGATGGACGTCTTCACGATCCGTGAGAACACCTCAATTTGCTGCGACGCCGTTGACAAGGAAGTAATCTCCCCCTGAAACCCGGCGTCTGAGATCAGTTTGATGGTGAAGTTCAGCATCATACAGTCGGGGTACTCTTCTGCCAGACGGTATATCAGGGAGCGCCACGTCGGATGCTTGATAATCTCTGACAGCCAGGCGGGCGTCACACCCTCCTCGTTGAAGATGGTGTCCGCCTTGGCAGGGTCAAAGGTTCGCAGGATCATGTCCTTGAGATGATTCTCCACGAGACTCTGCACATCGAGGATGTCGACGCCGGAGAGGATCAGCCACTCGGCGATCAGATTGGCCAGTCCCGAGATGGCCTTGTAGTTGCTGGAGATGGTCTCGATGACTGTCTCCGGGTCGCCACCGGCCTGCAGGCAACAGGGGGAACCATCACTGTGTTATCCGTGAGCTATAGGTAGCAGCGAGAGGTGCACCAGCGGGAAACGCCTGCCTCGTGTCCGTTTGTCAATCAATCAATCCATTCAAACATTCAAGCTAGTTTTAAGCAGTACAGCCTGGCATCATCAACCTCATCTGATGTCCATGTTTATCAGTGGATTATTTATATCTAAGATGGGCAATAGCCAATGGCTAAAAAATAACATTCATCTCTAAATATTTACATCTTACAAGTTATCTTTATTCACATGAAGTATGTCTACTCCCTGTAACAATAAACCAGTTGCTCCAAGCTCCCACTCACTGAGAAGTATCGTTGCAGTGTGTTGGTGATTCCTGGCTCCATAATGTAGTCTGGAGAGGCAAACAGCTGCATGCATTCCCTGATCACTTGTTCAGGATCCTCCTGAGTTGCTGCCTCTTCGCCATCCGACTCCGCACCCTCTGGCCCATCATCTGCCCACTCTCTCTCCTCAAAATCTTCATCCATCTTGTCCTTTTTCACAGATGGTTCAATGTATCAGCCTGCAAATGGAAGGAGGGTATCAACATCCTGCTGGCTGTCCTGCTGGGCGAGTTCCATGACAATCCAGGAAGATATCTACCTGCCTTACTGCAAGATAAGCATGTGTAAAAAAATGCAAGATAAGCTGCCTTTTTTACATATGCTTATCTTTCTAATAGCAATAGGCACGGTGACTATAGCAATAGGCAGCATGCAAGATGATAACTATTCAATCCCTATCCTTTCACCAATCTGTCAAAATTGTATGTTCATTTCAAAATTGTAATTGTATGTGAAATCAAATTGTATGTCAAAATTGTATCCAATTGTTTCATACAATTTTGACAGATTGGTGAAAGGATAGGTATTGAACAGCTGAAAAGCACAGGTACCAATTTGCACCAGATGAGACGCCTATGAGTTATTACGGAGCGAGCGAAGCGAGCGGAGTCTTTCGTAGATTAACAGAAATTTCTGAGTATGAGCCGGCCGGCCGTGCGGACCGGCCGTGCGGACGCTTTTGCGAGACTTATATCTCAGCAACCACTTGACCGATTTACATGCGGTAATTTATGTAGGGTAGCTTCATTCTTTCTACCAAGTATTGGACTATTCCCGATGCATGTGGGTGACCCCTTATGCACGTGCCACCTGCAAAACGAAGGGGTGTCAGTTTTGTAATAGTTGCAATATCTCAGTAACTACTTGGCTGATGGCGCTGAAAGTTGGCATGTAGGTAGGCACCCACTAGGCAATGCATATCCATGTGCCAGAGTTGGGGTGCTGCTGCACGTGCGCACATGCAGGGGTCGATTCCAGATCTCGAGAACGGCTGGACCGATTGCGCTCAAATTTGGTATGAAGTTAGGGACCGGTTAGTAGGGTGCCGTGCAAAAGTCAGTTGGAACCCATTTTGCACGTGCGCACGTGCAGGGTGCTGCTTCCAGATCTTGAGAACGGCTGGGCAGAGGCCTCTTGCACCAAACTACCTAGCTAGGTAAAATCGAAAAACCGGTTTCAGAATAAGCTAATCTAACGGTGGTAAATTTGTTTGCAATAGCCCAATACATAATCCTATTTGTGCTTGCTAAATTGTGCACGCAAATTGTTACATTTGAGACTTGGACTGGGTATACGATGCAAAATAATCCAAGCATTGGTGCAAGAGGATTTTGGTGCAAGAGGCCTCTGATTGCCCTCAAATTTGGCACATCGCTAGAGGTTAGTAGGATGCCGTGCACAAGTCAGTTTGAGGTATCCCCTCGGAATTTCGCACGTGCAAGGCCCATCCTCTCGCTCGCTCTGTTCATCCCTCAAAAGGCGTTATACTGGTTAGCAACACAAAGCAAATCTCAAGCTCTGAAGCATTGCAACCAAATCATAACTAGGGGACAATTGCGTCCTTTTGCAGAGCCTTACTAACAATTGGATAAAATCAGCTGGCTGGCTAGCTGGCGACGTACAATAGCTATGTTATTTATTGATATAAACATGGTACGAGATGGACATGAATGCGTAAAATGGCACTCATAGAAAAACTAAAAATAGAGATTAGTTATTTGTATCTGACATTGATATCAGTAGGTGGAACTATGGTCATGAGTACCCAAATATAGGAACGTTCCCATTTTTGGGAACGGAGTTCCCAAATATGGGAACGGGCGTTCCCATGTATGAGAACGGAAGGTAATTTTTCGGCCGTTCGCCGACTAAAACTCATTAGTGCATCACATCTCAAAAAGTGCACGCTAATTTAAGTATCTACTAAGTCTCTATAAAATTATCTTTAATCTGACCGTGGAACAAGGAAATTGACCGTCGAATGAAATTTTTAATGATTTTTTGAAATGACGGAATCATGGATTACTTACCATGACGGAATCATGGTTAGTTATCCATGACGGAATGGTGAAAACATGGGTTATACTACATTTAACTTGCAATTTTATGGAAAATGCAGCGTTTTTTACATTTTGAGGTCAAGTATAATAATTTTCGCCTGGTTATGAAGTTTCATACTAGCGACACCGGATGCAGACATATGCAAGCGAACACGCGGACAGTCCCGGGGTAATATTGTTGACATTTGGTGTCGGGGCGCACGACCGCATGGAACGTCAGTGATTTTACCGAACTACTGTTGTAAACTCAGGTTGAGTGGCTTAAAATTATTCAGCTGTATTTTATCATCCCGGAAAGACATATTTTATTTGGATGCTAGCTGTTTAGAGTTGTTTTATAAGGAGCGTCATGAGCGTGGTTTTTGTCTTCCGTGTTTCTAAGCGTGATCGTTTTGGGGGAATTCCTCTTATATAGGTCGCTCTGTGTGGCTTATTTATAATTTTTATGCTGATTTCGATCATCCCTCGTGCCCATCCTACCAGGCCTTCTGCCACTTACACTCATCAAGAAAGGAAAAAACTAGATTTTCATTGGGACTAGGTGTTTTGAGGGTGTAACATATTCAGCGCATAAGCGTAACTTTATATCTCTTTGTGGGTGCTCAAGCACCCCCAATCCTGAGCTCAGCACCCCCTGCCTTCTTAAAGCACCCCCAGCCTCCTCAAAACATTCCCAGCTGACTCAAGGCCCTCAATAATCAGAATGTCCATCTCCTAGTACTGTAATGAGCCCAGTGAATCATGCAAATAGGTACTATGCTTACTCAATTCAGTGACTAAGAGAATATACATTGAATAAATCACCACAAATTAAGATACATGATATTTGTGTTAACATTACATCTGATATTATCAGGGGCCCGTGAACGATTTTCAAGTTGGGGGGGGGGGGGGTGAGCCTAAAATACCTGACATGATGCATATAAAACAGTGGCATAGCTAGGGGTGTAAGGGGACACGTTTCCCCTCCCCCCATCGGGTTCAAAGGGACGCTTGGGTCCGAGAGGCCCTGCGGCGCCATTTGACCGCTGAGGGTTAACGATGGCCATATTTCTACTCAGAAGGGCCCCGTGGGGCTCTTTAGAGCACCTCATGGGCCCTAAATAGCCACACTAAGGTCTCCATAAGGGCCCCACGCCGACTTCTGAGGGCCTCTTGCGGCTTTTAAGGACACCTCGGTGGTCTCCAAAGGCCCGTTAAGCCTGAAACAGACTCTTTCCGCAGTCAGGAAATCGCATGCGAGAGCCTATTCAAATACATGGAAGCACGCTCGCATCAACCGCACGCACCTCCCGCGAGCGATTGATGCGAGAGGAATTACAATGTTTTTGAATAGGCTCTCGCATGCGATTTCCTGAGCGCGGAAAGAGTCTGCTTCAGCCTTTACTGGCCTCTGAGAGGTCTTACCGGCCAATGAGGGAAAGTTCTAGGTTCATTTCCCACCTGTGATGGTCCCACACTTATTTTTCTGAGGGCCCCATAACGGCAACTATGGGGCCCTCGTCGGTGCCTATGAGGGCCCACACCGGTGTCTCTGAGGGTTTCACACCCCCAACTCTGAGTGCCTACACCAGTGCCTATTAAAACCCTATATCGGCGGCTCTGAGGACCCACCCAACACCTGCGCATCTAAAGGCCACCCACTGATGACTTGAGGGCCCCACAACGGTGACCCTGAGGGCCCCACCGGCGTCTGACAGTACCATGCCGGTCTCTTAGGACCCCGCAGGACTTCTTCTGCCGGCCTAGTAATAAGGACCCCTTGCCGGTCACTGAGACCCCCTGCCGGCTTGTAGAGAGTTCGCGTCAGCAGCTCTAAAGGCCCCACACCCGTCTGTAACGGCTCTACACCAGCGTCTATGAGGGCCCGGAGCAACGCCTGTAAGGACCCTCATCGGCGCCTCTGAGAGAATCACACTAGCACCTCTGATCGCCCACACCGGCACCTGCATGGCGGCCCCACACCGGTGCCTCCCTTACCGGCGGCTCTGAGGGCCCTACGCCGATGATTCTGAGGGTGCCACCGATTACTGAAGGCACCACACAAGCCCTTAGTGTAGCTGAGCTTTAATCCCATACCGGCCCTCCGAGGGCGCCACGTCAGTGCACTCATTGCCCCACACCCCTCCCTCACACCCGGAGCGGGTAAACTGTGTTATACCTATAGCAATGATTTTACCACCGTTGTACGTTATGTATTTCTCAAAGTTGACTCAAAGTGGTCCAGTACAAAATCTGGCCTGCCACACTTATGGCCAAGGTCAGGCCCAAACACGTTTTGGGCAATCAGTCTCAGTCCATGACTCCATTCTTCGGCAACTACGGTGCAAGGCCGATACTGTAGAAACTTGCAATTTGTACCCTTGACCTGACCTTGACCTTGACCTCAAACTTTAAATTAAGTGCATGTATTTAGTTATTCGTGATGAGATCTTTCGATTGGCGTTTGAATTTTCCAAATCGGACCAATAGTTCGGGAGATAACAGGGGGGTAAAATTTATCCCCCCCAGCCCCGCGCGTTCGGCTGGAGAGTGGAGAGTGAGACCCCAGCCCCGCGCGGGTTAATGCATTGGGTGAGCCAAAATTGTTTTACAGTGGCGCTATTAAAACAAGCTCTCGAACCGATTTAACATCATTTCTTGCATGATGCCTGATGGCTACAGTAAAAAGAACAGCTAAAAAGAACTACAAAAACTATGGAATGCCTTTCTGAAAGCTACTGAGCACCCCCAATGATTTTTGGAAAACTACACCCATGATTCAGCGTTCCCATTTTTGGATACTTCCTTGTGCTCGTCAACTATCGGTGATAAACAGACAGGTGCTTGACATGTCTCCACCCTCGGCGCAGACGGTGGATATAGGTATGGAAGACTGTTGAACATCGCTGAGCGTTGTGAATTACGTAATCCTGCAGAGGGGGGCGTGCCCGCTGCGAGATCGACGGGAATAAAAGCGCAGAAGACCGGGCGAAACATGCGACGGTCTTGCCGGAAAGGTCATCTGATGATTGTTGCGTTAACAATAATTTGCGGCGTTGGACGTGATGCTTGTTGATTAAAAGAGCCCCTGAAAGGCGTCGGTGAAATCGTTCCCAATTTTGGGTACGCCGTTCCCATAATAAGGAACGCTTGCAGCGCCAGTGTACGAGAGCGTTCCCAAATTTGGGCTCGCTGCCCGGATGATGGACTGCTTTAGAAATAGGGGAACGATTTGAAACTACGATGGGCCTTACAATATCAAACTCTTTCCCAACAATATTGAGACAAATATCAGGCAGTTCACGATCATTTTATATTTTTTTGACGTCATTTAACGGTTCTTTTTCTTGTTTTAAATAATGCTTACATGGCGTTCCCATATTTGGGTTTATCGTTCCCAAACATGGAAACGAAAATGCGTTCCCGAAAATGGGTACGCTTGACCATAGTTCCGCCTACTGATATATAACAAGCTCTGCTAGTGCCACCATAAGGTGCCAGCTGGCAAATTATCCAGAAAATAGTATGAACCTTTTTGCAACCTTTAAAGAGAGAAATTCTTGACACAAAAATATGAAAAGAAATAATAATTAGCTTACCACACATTGACCAATCATATTCCATAATTCAAAAGCAACTTATAAACTGTCATGGTTCCACCTGTGAGCTCATGCACAGGTACCTAGGTAAAACACAGTTTTGCTGTGGAATGCAGCATTGGTACCTATACAATGATGTTAGATGTTAGCTTAATCATAATCTAGCATCTTTGAAATGAAGCAGTGCAGATTAAAATCAAACTTACAAGTTACACACCTATACTGTGAATTAAAAAATCAAAGTAAATCACCACGGGCTTCCACCCTACACGTGGAAGGGACGACGGTGAAAACAGGGCGCCTGGGGCTATTTGATCAAGGTTCGTGAAATTTACACGTGACGTTTGGCATATAGAAGGCCCTTGGAGCGGGAGAAGTTCCAAATGTCACGTGACTAATATGCCCTCCGGCGCCCTGTTTTCACCGGCGTTCCACTACACGGGTGGGTTCACAAATGCCGCACGCCCGCATGTTTAGGGCCTTGCCCGCATGCATGTTTTTTAATCCCAATCGAAAATAACAAAAAAGCATGTAGTTAGGATTTTAAATGACCTTTTCCTCGATAATTAATTGGAAATTCAATAAAAAGTAAATATTATATTGTTTGGCAAATTTTCGAACAACAGTTCATTCTCAAGCCACATGAAACAATTGTTTCATGTGGCTCGAGAGAACAGTTGTTTCATGAAACAATTGTTTCATGTGGCTCGAGAATGAACTGTTGTTCGCAAATTTGCCAAACAATATAATATTTACTTTTTATTGAATTTCCAATTAATTATCGAGGAAAAGGTCATTTAAAATCCTAACTACGTATATCAAGATGTTCCTCGCTAGAGCACTGCATACTATTTCGTCATGACAAAAAAGCTCTGAAGAATGCGGCATACGGCACCGATGCCCCGTTTACCGGTTTACCTAGGGAATGTTGCAAGCTTATACCTAGCTCCACCCGTCCCAGCTCCACCTGTTATGTTGCAAAAGATGCCAATGGTGTTGTACGATTTACAAAATTATCCCATCTTAATATAAAAAGATCACTGCATCGAAGTTATCGCAAAATAAATGAGCTAGAGCCTCGTCAAAAATGCTATGCAAACGCAACTAATCAAAACCCAAAAGGATGATAATTTGTTCAACCACTTTCATTGCGGCATACGTACTACACAGACTCACTTAGTAGTTGATAAAATTTATACCAAAAACCACTCAGCCTGTACACATTTCCTGTGTAGCTCTTTCCCACCAGAATTTTGCTTCATTCGTTCCACACTCAATTTTAGATAAGACTAAATTCACCAATCACCGACACCATCAGGGGTAGTACCGTCCGATATCACGTGTCTTGGTCTGGCAAACTGGCTGAGGAGTGAGGGTGCGTGCCTTCAGACCGTTGTTTTGGTCCAAAAGTGACTTAGCACATTTGGCGAAGCAGGGCAAGGTGAACATCGCTTCCATTGCAATATAGTAACCCTCCGGAGCATAGACATTGATGGTGGCACGTTTTTGCAAATCCAGCAACGGTCACCGTAGACCGTAGACCGTAGACTGGGTACCCAGCACCGTATTCGTGTACCGGGCATAGGCGGCGGAACGGGGAGGGCACCGGGGCACCGTGCCCCCCTTTGATTTTGACATTTTAACATTAGCCCTATGCCCTATGGGCGTTGCATGGAAAGAATGGGACCAAAAGTCGGCAGTGCCCCCCCCCCCTTAACTGAAGATGTTCCGCCGCTACTGGTACCGGGAGAGCTTTGGTCTGACTGGCCCCGTGGCTTTGACCCGGCGCCGTGGTCAGTCACATATGACCGCAAGCACTTCTCACGACCGAGACAGCCTCAGACGATGATGTCACGCCAATCCCGCATACGCGAGGAGCGCTGCGGAAAGGCTCGGAGGAAGTGACGCTGCGGCGTTATCACAAATCGTCATTCGATTGGCACGCAATTATTATATATGCCTAAAAAACGGACTCAATTCTATAATTAATCATGCTTTCATAGTGCACGAAACAATTCATTGCGATCAAATTTCATCCATACAAAACGGGTGCATTAAACGGCACCTACATGCGTATAAAACGGTTCATCGCGACGGTAGAAAGCGTGGCTGCCTTTCAACCAGTTACCCGGAGTTCTTCGGCATTGAGTTGCCCTGCACCTCCGGCGGCAGTTTGTTGCCGGTGAATGGCTCTCGCGGCCGGATCGTTCGGCCGCTCTGTGTACTCCTGTTTGGCCGTCGCTAGCGACGCGTCGGCGGCGGCGGTAGCGATCGATCGGTGCACGGCGCACCTGGTCAGTGTCCAGCGGCGGTGGGGACCGGTAGCGACCGGCGGCGGCGGCGGCGACCGGGAAAACAGCTCAGCTCAGCCGGGCCCAGGTCAGTCAATCAGAACACGACATTAATTCTTGTAGTGCTCTTTGTATGTAAGGCATGTAGGTGATTGGTAAATTCCTTTTTAATGACCTCCTTACAAATTATTTATGTTTTTGATGTATTTAGCTTGATACAAATTTTCGGCCACGGGCCTTGATCACATATCAGTTTAAACACAGACACGAAAGACACACAGACACCAATGCAGTTACAGTTTTGCCAGTTTTTCAGTTTCTGTACAACTTCGCGTGATAAAAAAGCACAATATACCTACAGTTCTAAGGAATATGTTAGATGGGCCCAACAAAAACGATCATAGACAACCTAATAGGTCAAAAATTAACTTTAAATTCGTTTTCGTATTCGATTCATTCATCTACTTTTCAACGTTCACTCATGTACATGCACATAAAACCCGATAACTACATAATGTACCACGATGATACATTTCGATTCAGTTGCGGCTTTAGCTTTCGGATTTGTAGCGACTCACTTATCTTTCGGTGTGGATGGTCGCCGGTTTTTTGAATGATTTCCACTGTTAGAGGAATTTCACCCCTTTGAAGTTCTAATTCTCTGTGAGCCGATCTAAAGTGATCACCAATGGGTGTGTCTCGGGTCTTGTTCTTGGCGCTTACGACATGCTCATTAAAACGTAGCCTAATAGGCCGTTTTGTCTCGCCCACATATGTTACTTCTTCTCCACCTTTCTGGCAGACGCTACATGTGATTCTATACACTACACCTGCGGTTAGGCACTTCCCTTTCAATCCCGACTCACAAGTATTGCAAACTCGCGACCCTGCTGGGCACTTGGGATGGGAGAGGGCAGAACGTGTGAGGCGGCTTTTCAATGTGTTCTTGCTTTGCCAGGCTACTCGCAAGTTTAAATCAGTTTTTCTCACGATGGCATTGACTTTGGCACAGACGGTCTCGTCGATATATGGTAGAGTCAGGTACCCGTCTAGCTGCTGTACTTGCCGTCTAGCTGCTGTACTTGCTGCATCTGACGACAGCCATCAGACTGTCGTCAGATGCAGCGGCACGTGCTCGCTCCTGCCAGAAGATACAGCAGCTATTCGAAGAAAACGGCTACAGAAAACAGTTGGTGCGGAGGCTGCAACGAGAGGCTACCCGAGCAGAGACACATCCGACGACAAATGGAGAGCACCGGCACCACAAAAAGCAGCAAGTACAGCAGCTAGACGGGTACCTGACTCTACCATATATCGACGAGACCGTCTGTGCCAAAGTCAATGCCATCGTGAGAAAAACTGATTTAAACTTGCGAGTAGCCTGGCAAAGCAAGAACACATTGAAAAGCCGCCTCACACGTTCTGCCCTCTCCCATCCCAAGTGCCCAGCAGGGTCGCGAGTTTGCAATACTTGTGAGTCGGGATTGAAAGGGAAGTGCCTAACCGCAAGTGTAGTGTATAGAATCACATGTAGCGTCTGCCAGAAAGGTGGAGAAGAAGTAACATATGTGGGCGAGACAAAACGGCCTATTAGGCTACGTTTTAATGAGCATGTCGTAAGCGCCAAGAACAAGACCCGAGACACACCCATTGGTGATCACTTTAGATCGGCTCACAGAGAATTAGAACTTCAAAGGGGTGAAATTCCTCTAACAGTGGAAATCATTCAAAAAACCGGCGACCATCCACACCGAAAGATAAGTGAGTCGCTACAAATCCGAAAGCTAAAGCCGCAACTGAATCGAAATGTATCATCGTGGTACATTATGTAGTTATCGGGTTTTATGTGCATGTACATGAGTGAACGTTGAAAAGTAGATGAATGAATCGAATACGAAAACGAATTTAAAGTTAATTTTTGACCTATTAGGTTGTCTATGATCGTTTTTGTTGGGCCCATCTAACATATTCCTTAGAACTGTAGGTATATTGTGCTTTTTTATCACGCGAAGTTGTACAGAAACTGAAAAACTGGCAAAACTGTAACTGCATTGGTGTCTGTGTGTCTTTCGTGTCTGTGTTTAAACTGATATGTGATCAAGGCCCGTGGCCGAAAATTTGTATCAAGCTAAATACATCAAAAACATAAATAATTTGTAAGGAGGTCATTAAAAAGGAATTTACCAATCAAGAACACGACATTAAATTACCTTCAAACTGACATTGAAATACGCCCTGCCTTACATAGACAGTCGACAGATGCACAGATATTCCTCCATTTTATGTCGATTAGTTAGTAGCGAGTCTTCGCTAGAGCTGCCAGCGGCCATGAAATATCTCTTCACATATATTATCATGACTCGTGAGTGAGGAGGGACCTCATGTCAGGTCAATCAAGTTCTACATAGTGCAGGACATAGTCAAAAGTGCAAGGTCGATAAAGGTCATTCAAAATAATGACATGCTTTAGACGTCAATATTGCGTAGAACTGAGCTAAGCCTACATAGGCAATCGGCGTCTTGCTCGACTTTCTAGGAAATTTAGCGCCAACATCATGAACTATTTGGATAAATCGAACTGTAGGAACTGTTTTCTTGGCCGACGGACGGCGCCGCCATCAGCATGAGTCATTCACCACGCAATGAAAAAGGAGGTGCATGCCTAAGTTATGTTGTCTTCAGACGAAAATCTATTTCAGTATTGTATGACTGAATGCCTTTATAACTTCAAGATTCCCATCAATTGTTAGGTACTTGCCCAGGTACCTATTGTAAGCGCGCTCAGGCTTATATAGGTACCTACTCGTAACATATAAGCGTACCAACTATCAACAAATTTACGAGCCGAATGCCTAACCGGCGATTTTTTAGACACCCCGATACTTGTATTATTATTATGCTGCCTTTTTGCGGTGGTATGTATAACCTTTATTCATCGGTTTAATAAACCTATCTATGTAGTATGTATGCAAAATGAAAAGTGAGAATAACATGTTCAATAGGGTATGAACTATTAGCGGTGAAGTGCTTGAATCGTTAGCACTTTTGTCCGTTAAAATGCATAGTGTGCTTCTTTTCGTACCGGTCTCTGTTTATTTTCTTCAACCGTCAACAGGTTTACGTACAACTGAATCTGCATGCCGTTCTAATTTGTTTCCCCGTATTTCTGACTGTCGTCGTTATCGCTCAGGCGGCCCGCCGCTCCAACTATGGGAGAGAACATGAACCGGTACATGACGCTGGGCCAGCTGGGGGACGGCACCTTCGGCTCGGTGGTGCTCGGACAGCGCATCGACACTGGCGAAAAGGTGGCCATCAAACGGTACGTGGACGTACCGTTTACGGGGCACGGATTACGTGGACCCGTGCCCTGTGCCCGGGCCATGGCACACGCATTAGAGGTGATGACAGGTGGTGATCTTGTTGTCCTTTTATCCCGAGAGGTATGTTCAACAACCATATAGGCCATATGTACATAACAACGAGCCAACGAGATATCTAAGCTAATGGAAAAACGTGAGTGACGTCTAAACGTTACCGTTTACGGGAGATATAATTGGTCATATGACTCTTGACGATAATGCTGTCAGGTAGGTATATTTACTTTGCGATTGCTTTTGCATGTCATTTTCTACGTTACAGGATGAAGCGGAAATACACTTCATGGGAGGAAGCGATGAACCTGAGGGAGGTCAAGGTACGAAACTCGGTGTCAGCACTCAGTTTTACCGATGTTTTCATTGCTGGTTTTCGCATAAAAGTAACAGTCGAATAAGAGCAACGTGAAACATGCCACGTTGTCGGCTTTACACGTTCCATGAACTGATTTAGGAGGGCTTATATATATCCAAAGGATTCTGCCTAAAGGTGACTGATGTTTAAGTATTTGAGCCACGAGGCACAAACGGCTAAAGGCGTTTCACCCAACCCGTAAGGTCGGTGTCTGAGTTGATTATGGGTGCCCATAATTGGCTGTGATAGGTATAACTCAAAAAGCTGCGAACGATTTTTATTGATGCCTGTAAATTACTGTCCTAATCGTTTTGTTTTCTCTTGCAGTCCCTGAAGAAGTTAAGTCATGCGAATGTCGTCAAATTGAAGGAGGTCATACGAGAAAATGATACCCTCTACTTCGTCTTCGAGTACATGAAAGAAAACCTCTACCAGATGATGAAGGAGAGGCAAGTCGGATAATACACACCATATCATAGATACCTACGTAGTTAACTCATTCAGTCAGCTGTATTTCAATCGTTCTAATAGTATGCGGTACAGTATGCCTTCAGGCGCAAACGGTAGTGACATCTAGCGGCAGCGGTGCAACATAGGTTGGAGACGTGCGGTGCAGTATACCTTCAGGCGTAGACTGTAGTGACATCTAGCGGCAGCGGTACAAAATGAGTTTGGAGATGTGCGGTACAGTATGCCTTCAGGCGCAAACTGTGGTGACATCTAGCGGCAGCGGTCGGCATAGCTATTGATATGTGCGGTACAGTATACCATCAGGCGCAAACCGTAATGACATCTAGCGGTAGCAGTACAACATAGGATCGGAGACGTGCGGTACAGCATAACTTCAGGCGCAACTATTAGTGACATCTAGCGGCAGCGGTAGGACAAAGGCATGAGACGCGCGGCACAGTATACCTTCAGGCGCAAACTGCAGTGACATCTCGTGGCAGCTATGTAACTTCATACACGGTTCAGCGTAATGGTAAGGACTAAGGTAAGCGTCCTCTCACACATGACAAGCTGTCACGGCGGAGAGGGAGGTGTTGTCGGGTCCGCGCTCCCGAGTAACATCCGGCCGAAAGAACCGTATGCATATCACGCAACACGGAGACGAAATTCCGATGAACAACATATATGTAGGTACTGTAATTACTGGGCATAAATTTATATTATTTGAACAACGGCAACGATAGGGCTGTTGATACGAGCTTACCGTTCGTATTATTATTATTATTATTGTTTATTCAGCATCGTCATGCGACAAAAAGATACATACCCCCCCCCCCCACCCACCCACACACACAGTTAATCAGCACTCAGGAGGTTAGTAGTCTTAACAGGCGCCGCGAGGCCTGACAGTTGCTTGCCAAAACCATCTTCAAACTGTCTATAAGACCGCTTTCTTGGAGTGGTGCCCGGACTATGTCGTGATCGACGTGCCCAGCAGCGATGTGCATGATAGCGCCGAAATTCCCACCACACAGATTGTACACGTGGCCAATAAACGACCCATCCAACTGCTCGGGGTACGTAGCAAGTCTGGCCAGTCCAGTGACGTAGGCTTGGCGAAGACGGTGGTCAGCGCGGAAAGCATTACGGAATGCGCGGAGGGCATCACCTCGCAGCACCTCACCGATGCGAGGCACCCCAGCAGCAATCAAAAGAGCCGTATGGTGCGCAGAACGCGGCAGACCCAGCGCTGCCTTGATCAGCGAAGCCTGTCGCGAGTCTAGACGCTCAATGTCGGCGGAACTGAGGGGAGCCGTCTCACAGCCGAAGATCAGTGCCGGCAGCACTACTGTCTTCCAGAGGAAGATTTTGTCAGCAGCAGTCAGGCGGTTGGTGAAATTGCCCAGGGGTGTGAGGCCATAGAATGATGCACAAGCACGCCTGATGCGCTGAGCCACGTGGCTGTCTGTGCTGAGGTTGTCATCAAGCACCGTACCGAGGTGCTCGGTCGTCTGCCGGATCTGCAGCTGCTGTCCTGACAGTGTCCACCTCGGTGTGCTCGTGAATAGTTCCTGTCCAAATATAATACAATGGCTCTTGGTTTTTCCGTATCTCTTTAAGAGCACTCAAATGAGTCAGTTTGCGCGCGGAAGTTTCGAAAGACTCGTCTTCTTTAAGCATGCGGTGATTGCTCTGTTTTCGTGGCCGTTACTTCATTGTGGACTTCGCCCTGCCACAGGGACAAGATGCTCTCGGAGCCGGTGATTCGCAATATCATGTATCAAGTCCTGCAAGGCCTGGCGTTCATGCACAAGCACGGCTTTTTCCATCGAGACATGAAGGTAAGAAATGAAGAAGACAGCAAGCAAATGCACAGCGTAGGCTCATATGCGTTTCATAACGAAACAAATATGGCACGCGTTGGGCTGGCCGTTCCATGAATTCACGGTTTCGTTAAGCGTCCAGCATGACACTCGCTCAATAAATTGCATAGTAAACACAAGGAAACAAATAGTCAAATCTTTGCTGTAACATACCCTTTTAAAATTAGGTTCATTTTTAATGTAATTACTCGATGAGTGCAGAACAGGAAGTGATTCAGAAGAGTATTTTCATTTCGGGACAATAACAATAGGTAGAATAGGTCGGGGCAATAGGTGAGCGAACCGACCCGGTCCATCCGTTGATAGCAACTTTTGGCATTGTTTTCTTCCCCATAATCAATGCGTTACCGAATTAATTGCTTTGTTTCAGCCTGAGAATCTACTCTGCATGGGACCTGATCTGATCAAGATTGCTGACTTCGGTCTGGCCCGTGAGATCCGGTCCAGGCCTCCGTACACGGACTACGTTTCTACCAGATGGTAAGATGCTGACAGCCACATTACCTCGTTCGGGACTATAGTTTTTCTTCGTTTTCCTTCCACATTGTTGGCGTGCAATATCAGTGATAATCCCTTGTGCTTGCCCAATGTTTGAGGCGAGGTAACAAAACTTTTCTTTCGGTACTCCGGCGTCAGTGTCATGCATATCGCTATTTTGTCGGACAACGTTAACAATAGTGAAGGAGAATGTCGTAATTACAAAATCAATTAGAGTTTTCGATGGCCACAGCACAATCTCTTTTAAGCAAAGCTTTGATTTGAGCTGTAAGATGTTTTTATTTCTGGGAAGGAAGTCTGTTATAAATCTGCATTACGGAAATCCAGAGTTAGCGATGTAGGAATGGCACAGTGAACCTCGGAACTGGCTATAATTACTTAAGTGTACTGGATAGTGGATACCTCTATATCACCGGTGTTCCATTGACATCCAGGTACCGCGCACCGGAAGTGCTACTGCGTTCGACCAGCTACAGCAGCCCCATCGACATCTGGGCAGTCGGCTGCATCATGGCCGAGGTCTACACCTACAGACCGCTGTTTCCCGGCAGCTCAGAGATCGACGAGATCTTCAAAATCTGCTCCGTGCTAGGAACTCCCGATAAGGTAAATTCAGATACCCCAGCTTTTCTCTACGAATGTCCATCCGAACCTTTAGTCTGTCCGCTCATGGATCTGTTACTTCGTTCACACCCACGGGACAAATTAAATCGGGTAACGATAAATCCCACTAACTTGATGCCAAAAGTTAGTATTTTTGGCATTTTTAGTGCATGTATTGAAAAGAAGAATATAACAAATACAGTTCGATCAGAAACTCGCAGGTTTGACTCTCCCCGATCCCGGCGGACTCTGGCGCCGTGACTGACCTTGCCGCTGATCGTTACAGCGTGACTGGCCGGAGGGACACCAGCTGGCCTCGGCCATCAGCTTCACGTTCCCCCAGTTCAGCCCGACCCCGCTGGAGACGCTCATACCCAACGCCAGTCCGGAGGCCATCCACCTGATTCGTGACATGCTGCTCTGGAACCCCAGCAAACGGCCCACGGCCCAGAACGCCATCAGGTTAGTGAGACCGAGCGACAGCGCCGACCGGCCGACACTGCACCGACATCGGGCTGGGCAGCTGCGGCAAAATATGTAGCCTATGACGTCACATCGTCACCGAATAATTCGGCTCGGCAGAGTGCTATACGGCTCCCCAAACTCCAGTCTAGTGACCGGCGACCCGACCACAAACTCAGTATCCGGCTCGAACTTCATTCATATGATGGTTCTAATTATTTCTGGCTGGCGGAACTCATGATATTGTTTTCTCAGGGGTGTTCGCAGCGGCTTCCTACCGCCTCAATGGCAATGGACCATACCAATACTATCTTGTCCGTACTGATTTTACGGCTTTTGTATTGTCACACGCCGGTGACGGTCTATTGGGTCACGTTTTGATGGTCACGCTCCGTTTCGTCAGGTACTCGTACTTTCAAGTCGGACAGAAGCTAGGCGGTGGCAACGCCGGCGGTGCGATGGGTTCTCAGGCCGCCTCCAACGCCTACATCGGACAGACCGGCAACGTACGGCGCTCAAACAAGTGGGACGACGACGACTTCAAGGATGTCATGGGGTATATATTGCTGGATCTTATTGTCTGCCTGCCAGCGTGTCTGTCTATTTGTATGAGAAGCGTCTTTTAAGTAAATTAATATCAAACAGATACAAAAAGTTTGAGACAAAAGGATGACTTACGGCGTATTATTGTATGTTGCACAAATAGTCCCGATCTTTTGACGATTGAATCAAACACTTGTGCTCTTGCCCAGTCATTTATCAGCCGTCCCTAGTCAGGTCAACACATGTGTCCTGTCCTATATTTTCAGCAACATGCAGTCGAGCACGGTGGGCGGCCGGGGCGGCGGCGGCGGAGGCGACGGCAGGTCCCAGTCGCGACACATGACCGCCAAACAAGTGTACCTCAACAAGTCGCGCTACGTGGCCGGACACAACACCAAAAACGCGCAATATGGTAACTAATAGCAGTCTATATGGTATCTAGCACTAGCAGATATGCATATCCCAGACAATCAGTCTAACTTCTGCTTTCGACCAGGTACCGGTACAAAAGTGAACGGTACACATCGAGGGCACAATGTTCTTGAGATACACAATTTGAGGGTCAATAAATTTGTCAGGACGTTCTTGCCAAAAAGTTAAAGTTTGAAATGCAGAATCCAATGCTGCCGTCAAGCTTCAAAGCGAATATGACCTTTAAATCGGTTATTTACTCGGACTTTTTCGGTTAAATTATGAATAGGTAGCTAGCTTTCGAGTCAGACAATGCTGTTGTATGTGGCGGACAGGCAGCGGCGTGGCGCACGAGCCGGCGCCGCCGCACCACGGCGGCGGCGGCGGTGGCGGCGGGGTGCGGTCGGTGGTCAGCAGGGGAGCCTCGTCCAACACCACCGGCGGACTGCACGGGCGCACCGACTGGGCCGCCAAGTCAGTACGACTGAGAACGGGGCGCACTCACACTCTTTCAACGTTCCAACGCACCTACACAACACACCGTTCCAATGGCATCTAAAGCACAAACTGGTCTAATTCCACCTACAACCGGAATGCCCGATTCCAGTTCCGGCTCAAACCGCTCCAAATCCACCACCTACCCAAATTTTACCTCTGAAACACAACCGGATTTTTATACCCCTAACCAAACTTGGTTCCATCGACGCATCATCGATAATTGCTCTAATAATCAGAGGCCCCAGGCTGTCCTAACAGACTCCTTACAGCAATCCTCTTAGCCATTGGCACTAAATTTAAGCAAAGTTTCCAGATCCAACAATCTAGTAAAGAAGAAAGACGAGTGCCCGCCCCCGTGCATTGTAAGCTGACCCGTTCCTATGTGTTTCTTTGGTATGAACGCCGTGAAGGGCCGAAAGGTTTTCCCGAAAGCCCTTAGTGTTCCAGAATGATCCTCTTGATTGTCGGAAATGAAATGTGCATCATCGACCCTTCCCCTATTTTTCAGATATCTCAAATGAGAGCGCACCTCTTCTGCAAGCTGAGTGCGAAGACTGTGATGCAGCTACCCTCGTTCGCCTGGTGAAAGAGCAAGTCCTGCTAGCCGTCCGACATTGAAAGCCTACGGAGTTCAGGATGACGCTTCGAGAGAGAGAGAGAGAGAGAGAGAGAGAGAGAGAGAGAGAGAGAGAGAGAGAGAGAGAGAGAGAGAGACCCGCGCTCCTTCGGTCATACGGTGCTAAGCCGTTGGTGCGGGCCAACTAACGCCAATCCAGAAACTGGGATTGTTGTTCGTTTGACATTGTGTAACGATTACGCGAATAATTACAGAGGCGTTTGACATTTTTAGACGTCTTATAATGGCGTGCCTTGGGGCCCGCCGGCTGCCAAGGTTATTTGAACATATCAATTATTCACTAGTCCGTCCTTTTCCTATTAATTATATCGACCACTGATACAGCGTAAACCAACAACGCAACCTCTGTTAAACGGGTTTTAAGGCGTTCTTCGCGATGACCTAAATTGTTGTATCGTTGTGGAAATGTGAAGTTACTCATTTCAACTGTAATCGCATTAGTTCTAAAGCACGGATATCAATCACAAATTTGAAGCGGTGCGAAGTCGCACTCTAGCAGCCGGTTTCATAAAGCTTATTAGTATTTCTATCAATGTGTATTTTACGTCCTAAGAAGCTACGCCCTCTCGAAGTGGATGGTTTTATCAAGATCAGAGGGCATAATATGCGCCAGTTGTGTGTTTCTGTTTGTTTAGCACTGTGTTTTACTACACCCACTGCTTAAGTCATCATTGAGTCATCATTTGGTTACATAGACAATTGCTTTATGAAACCATTCGAGCGTAAAGCGCAGCAGAATGGGTGGGAAACCGTGTTAGCCGCGTTTTGCGCCCTTTCATGAAATCGGCCACTGATGAAACGCGGCAACGCATAACTGTAATGTGAGAGGGTCGTAGACGTTACCAATGTATCGTCATATATGTGAGTCGCGTGGATATACCAATTAGGTGTAGGTATATGCTGTTTTGTGCCTTATGGATAACGATACAGCGCCGTCTATGTGATTGGTTTGGACGTTATAACCGGGTGTTGAATGCCCTTATGCATATGCATATAACGATATATCATACCATATATCTGGTTAAAAGTCGCTACAGATATGCGGGTTGGGCATGCACACATGTAGCGCTAAGCATTGTCTTCAATGTTTTGCCCGCACAAAATAAAACGATGCAAACCAATAAAAAGACTTCTGAATAGCATGCAGTACAGCTCCGTGCGTTGTGCAACAGCTCCGGATAAGAGACAAAAAGCACACAAATCATGGGGTTCCTTGGGCATCACTGAAGAGGCGCACGTTTTCTTCTCATCTAAGGGAACAACATTTAAAATCTACCTCGAGAACAGCGGTAAAAAGACAAAGAAGGAAAACAAAACGTATGTATTATAAAGCTTTAAAAATACTTCAGGCATTTGGCCTCAGTCAGCTGTTTGAGGACACGCCATTTTCGTCATCCCACACGAAGGAAGACTATGCAACTTTCCATTAATTAACATCACAATAAAACATTTTATTGTCTCATACATGTCAAAATGAAATAGAAGTTTGACTCCCTCGGAAGTGTAACAAATTATGTCTTTGCAGCCATTCATCGTTTTCGTTTCAGTCACCAAATCATATAAGCAATGCAGCAGTGAATACCAATTTCAAACAAAAAGCACTGAGGCTTTAATAGCGCTTGACACCCAGCCACGACATCGTCAGTGCTCGCTCGAAGGCTTTTATATAGGGAGACATTTCTCGAAAAAGCCTATAAATAATCAGGCCGTGTCGCACTTCTCGCCATATCTAATTCCCAGGGGCACCGAACATCGGCACAAAGGACCAAAAACTACTCCGATCGAGTCGATCAGATACAATCATACGCCAACACCCCTACTCCAAATAGCACGGTTACACATTTCACCAGCACCGTAAATAACATAATACGTTCAGCTATTCTGACACTCGTGATGAAAGACCACTCACGAGTTGAAGGGGCCACCGGCGTGCCTCGGACAATACCCATACATGTCCGTTAGATCGCCTCTTTGGGTCCGTTTGCGACGGTCGTGTGACGGGTTGATCTTGTCGGTCTTTGTAGTGTGACTCAGCCAAACTGCACAACTCAGGATCTGTTGACGGTCTCCCCGATCCACCGTTTGGCCGGGAAGCAGGCCGGGTTGGTGCACATGGGGCACGTCATGAGCAGCTGCGGCCGCACGCCGCCGCCCTCGGCCAGGTGCGTGCGCACGAGGTCGGCCAGCGCACCGATAAACTCTGGATGGTCGTTCGGTGCCGGCACGCGGTAGATGGACGCGCCCGTCTTCTCACCCAGGTCCTTGGCATATTCAATGTCCAGCTCGTGCAGAGTTTCGATGTGTTCGTTGACGAAGGAAATTGGCACGAGCATCAGATGTTTGTGGCCGCGTTTGGCCATGGCCTCGATGGCGGCATCTGTGGCCGGCTCCATCCAGGGCAGCGGGCCGACCTTGGACTGCCAGACCAGTCGGTAGGGGTGCGAGTGGCCGAGCTCTGCCATCACGGCCTGCACGGTGGCGCCCACCTCTGCCGGGTACGGGTCGCCGCGCGCCACCGCCCGCAGCGGCAGCGAGTGCGCCGAGAACAGCAGCACCACCTGGCGGCGCACATCCTCCGGCAGCTGCTCCAGCTGCGCGCGGATGTTGGCGGCGAACGTGCGCACCAGGCCCGGGTGGGTGGACCAGCGGTCGATCACCGACAGACGCACGTCCGGCGGCAGCGGGTGCTGCTGGCAGTACTGGTGCAGCGCGTTGATGCTGCTGCCCGCGGTGGCGCAGCTGTACTGCGGGTACTGACTGAAGAGCACCACCCGCTTGGCACCGCTGGCCACCACCTCAGGCACGGTCTCCTCCGTCAGCGGCGACACGTAACGAAAGGCGACATAGTGCTTGTGCGGCGCGGTTTCCGGCGAAATCTGATCCAGCTGTTCACACATCTTTTCACCCTGAATATTGGTCCATTTCAAAATGGGCGAGCCGCCACCAATCTCGGCATACTTTTCTTGGATGGCAGGAGTGCGACGGCGCGCAATCCAGGGCCCCAGGCGACTTTGCACTGGGAGGTTGATGATGTCCGTATCGGAGAAAAGACGAAGCAGAAAGTCGTGGACATCATCGAGCCGAGCCGGCCCACCCATATTTAGCATCACAATGGCCGTCTGCGGGGCGGGCGCAGTGGCATTGGATGCTCCACGAAGCTGACACAATGTTGATGTTGGTAGACGGCAGAGCAAGCGTGCTCTCGACAGAATGGGTGCCATCACTACAGTGATGACAAAGGCAGGCAATCGGAACAAGCTGAAACAAAAGCTATGCTGAACTTTCTATCTATCATAACAATCAAGACATAAGCTAGATGACAATGGGAAGTATAACAGGGCTACCGATCGCAATGCAAATGTGAAGGTTTGATACCTTGACAATGGCTTTGTAGCCTCTGACCCACTAGGAACGCTTATGATTCATAATTCATAGGAAGTTCACTGTAACTTAATCACCAGTGATAGGCATTAGCCTATCACCAGTGATACAGAAGGCCTCACCCTCCTGTCTTTGTATTTACGATCATGGGTGATCCACACATGGCGTGGTGAACTGATTACTGCCCAAAACTGTTGGCTTGTTTATCATCCCAAAAGGTGCCTTCCTCATTCTGGTTAAGCACTGAGATAAACAATGAATCAGAATAGTAATTACTACCAAATGGTGATGGAGCATTACCTATTGAAATTCTGTCCAGTTCCAATGATGAGTGTTTCTAATGACCTTGCGAAGGCCACGAGCTAAATGTGTAGGTACAACAGACATCACGGTGATTGTGCGCAACTCTGCCGCATGACAGCCATAAATGTAGTTATCAGCAGGTTTTTAGTTTCCGAGTGAAATTGCAAACAAGGGTTGCACCGTAGTAAAGTAATCTTGGTTGCACCGGCTACCGAAACTCTGTAGCCCCAAGCACGGCCCAAGAATCTTGGTAGGCCCGGTGGATGTCACTCATTTGCGAGTGCAAGGTCCCCTGCACAACTTTTCCGGTTTCTGAGTACGTTTATTGTTTTGCATAACATTTATTGTATATGCTACCAAACAGACATATTTCACGTATGTACATCGCTCTATTTCCCAAGGCCGAACAATTTATTTGAAGCTTTCAGTGATTGATGTCTGGGTCAGTTCAGTTCAGAGACACACCAAAGGTCACCCTCGACATGGCTGGGCCTGGGACACGGAAATTCTTCCAGTGAGCATCCAAGATGAATGAACGGAAGAAGTAACTTGGTTCGAAAAAATATGTATTCAATAAACATGTAGAATTTGATACATTCGAGGTAATCAAGCCAAATAAACATCTTAATATCAATCGTGATTAAAAGAGCTCATGGAGCGAGGCCGGGGCGCATCTACTCTGGGGCGAGGGTATGTCGGAAAAGGGCGAGGAAAAGCGGCTGACTGGCTCGAGGGCGGCAATGGCCGCTGTGCGGTCAGGCCCCCGATACCCCATTATCAAACGGAGTCACTAATACATCAGCCAGATGCACCAGCTCACGCTCCGACGGCTCGCCAAGCTAAGGCACAAACCGCCAGCAGCACAGCGCAGCCGGCCGCGTAAACCATCGTAAAGCAACTACCGATACCGAGCGTGCATGGAGGCGGCCGCCGAGTCGGCCTCGCGGCCCGCTCGTACAACCAAGTATAACAGCTCTCTCATCCATGCCCACTCCTGAGATGCACATCCGTTGCGCGCACCCTGCCCCGCTCACCAGTCGGAGCAAGGGCGCCCACGCACCGCGCGCGCAGCTATTGCGGCCGACAATCTCTGCTATGAAGCGGCCAATCTCTGGCGGCGGGCGGGCGCGCGCCACCCGGCGACGTCCATCGTTACCGTCAGTGTCGACACAGATCGCTAGGGGCGCCGGCATCGCCCGCATCACAGACAATCAGCGCCCGCAGGCGGACCCCCGCAGGCGGACTAGGAGGCTGGCGTGCGCCATCTAGCAGCACTTGCCGCCCGTGTGGTGAGTCTGTTTCTCCTGCGGGAACCGGTCGGGAATTTCGACGCTGTCTCGCCCCGGCGCCTTCGCCAGTATCGCGTCCGCCAGCTCCATGAACGCCCGCTCAATGTTGATGTTGGCCTTGGCAGACGTTTCCAGAAACCGAATGCCGTGCTCACGTGCGATCTGAAACATTATGAAACAGTGTCCTTAATTATGTCATATGCAGTTCAACTCGGACTATCGGTTTTCTGCATACGCCCCCGCCAGGGGTAGGTGGTAAGCGGAAAATCCTCCTCCGTTGTTTCGCTCCGTATCGAGCTAAACTTCGCGAAAAAAAAGACGTGCGTGTGCCTCGTTACAAGACGCAGTGACAAGCACTTAATTTTAGTGCCTCAGGTAATATAGTGGTATTCTATGAGATATATATGTTTTCAAATATAACCTTATGTTAAATGATTGCGAAATGCAAAAGGTTCCAAAATTAATTACAAAATGAATATATTTCGGACACTGTCCTTCTTCAGTTCAGAATTGCAAATTAAATTAAGGTTATATTTGAAAACATATATATGTCATAATGCTGTTCATACAAGTACTTCGCCATTTACTTGGTATTCTATGAGGTCTAATGCCTGGCGCAGGGTTCAGCTTTTGGTAATCTGGTATAAGTTGGTAAATAACCTGGTATAAGTTGGTAATCTGGACAGCTTTTGGTAAGTAACGTCGACAAAAATGGCTGCAGAACCGCGATTTTGGCACCATCATGTGCGTCACGCTGAGGCGCGTCGAATCTTGAATGATACATAGTTTCAACTGAGAAAGGTCAACTAAATGTGTTGACCTCAGGTCAAAGTCATATAAAAGCCACTCAGGTCACGAAGTTGGTCGAATTGTCAAGCAAGGTCGTGTTTTTTTTTTTTTGTTATTTGATTCGGCCGGTATATCGGAATCCAACAGTGGCTTTCCTCAAACTCAAATTGATCGAAAGACATCAAATAACAATATCAGATGACATCAAGCGATCCTCGTGACGTCATGACATTTTGCAAGGTCCACAATGCCAAAGGAAGGCAATGGACCTTGGTAGTTGCTGTAAGTGAATGAAATTTAAAGTAATCACGATCCTATGCGCTTAAGATAGTCGTCTACATCTCCAGAACGGCTGGGCCGATTGCGCCCAAAGTCGATTACGCCCCAAGTCTGAGGTACCGATTAGAAACGGTGGTCCGTACAAGGGTCGCACAACCCTTCAGTGTGGGGTCTCAGTTTACACGTGCGCACTTCGCAGGGGGCCGGTTCTACATCACAAGCACGACTGGGAGGATTGCACTCAAAGTATCCAGTGTTAGAGACGACAGAGTAGATCAGTTTTTGCGGAACATCGAACCTTTCGGCGTCAAATTCCGCGAGCGTACAATTCAACCCGTCTTAGAAGTTCAAAATCTAGGGGTGGTCTTTGATCGCCACCTTTCCTGGAACGCCCATGTATGTACATACAAGAAATTACGCGCAAACACTTGCCGGTCCCGTAGCTCAGTTGGTTAGAGCGTTGGACTCCTCCCTGTGTACGGCAACAGCAGCCAAAAAAATCTCGACAAGATTTAAAAGGTGATTAACTTTGCTACTCGTGTAGCATCAGGTCGAAGGAAGTTCAGCCGTTCAGCGAAGGTCCAAGCGGCGCTGGGGTGGCTCGATGCGGAGGATCTATTTAAATTTCACACGCTCGCATTGCTCCACAAAATTTGCATGTATCACACATCAGTGTCGCTTTCATCCTCACTCCAAACAAACCGTGAAGCACGAGAACGGAGCACTCGACACGACGACGACCTGCGTCTGCCACGTGTTCGGTCGGAGGCTGCGAGGCGCCGGTTCTTGTACCGTGGACCGATGCTCTACAATGCCCTCCCGGTGAAAATGCGTATGATGACAGTCGCCAATTTTAGCCACGCTCTCAAGTGGGTTATTAACACGAGGGAAGCGTAGGAATGCGTGTTTTACTGCTAGTCACTTCCTGTCGTCGTCATTATTGTCTTAGTTTATTTATTTCTTATGCCCGCTTTAGCTTGTGTGCGTATTAATAGTTTGAATGTCTTTTTTTTACCTTTTGCGCTCACTCTGCCGGTTTACTGGTAAGTGATATCACCAAATTATCGCCACCTACCGATTCTCCGCGCTCCTTGGTGATCATCCGCTTGTCTTCCACGTCACACTTGTTTCCCAGGATCATCTTCTCGACGTCCTCGTTGGCGTGCTGGGGGCGAGGGAAGGGGCCGTGAGCCGCTAACATCTCAGTACGAAACTCAGCCTTACGTGTAACGCGTAACCGCCTCCCTCTTTTCCGTGACTCAATGGATGTGACAACAGCTTCATAAATTGCCACAAATGTTTTATAAATGATCAATCAGGACGTTTCCATGACACACAGCGAGCTCAAGCACGCAATTTGTCTCGGAAGGACTTTCACAGCGGCTGAGAAGATGGTTGCTGCCAGCTGCGTCAGCGAAACACTGGTGGCTAGGTGACAATGTCACTCGGTACTCACGTCATCAATATTCCTCAACCACTTAGCAATGTTATCAAAGCTCTTGGGGTTGGTGATGTCGTACACCAGCATAATGCCCATGGCGCCTCGGTAGTAGGACGTCGTGATGGTGTGAAACCGCTCCTGGCCGGCTGTGTCCCTGGAAGGAGGAACGAATCAGCGTTCAATCACGCTCATCATTCGGAAACTGCGATAAAGCACAGAGGCTCCTTGGCCAAACTGAATGGACTGACAATGCAGAAACCCACACTTAGCAGATAGTTTAATACAATAAATTATGCCTAAAAATTTTGAATGGAAGGACAGACAGAGCCCCTACTAAGCAGAGCTTTTTGCATTGGGCCCGACCTCTACCGGCCAATCGTGCTATGGCAATGCCTGGTCTATGGCAGAATTATGAGTTTGAAACGTAAACAAACGTAAACAAAGGTACACACGTAGCCGCGTAAGGCCGGTCCCTTCACCGACTTCGGCTGGCTTTAGCGTGCCACCAACCACAACCATACCCGTCAGGACCACGAGCCTCATAAACATCGGGCTATATCCCATAACGTGAGTGGAGTTATTCATGAAAAAAAAACGCGAGCAGTTCCGACTGACAAATTACGACGCCAACAACTGCAAGAGTTACAATATAAATTTAGCATCCATTCAAAGTCAAACTCAATCTGTTCTGCTCACTGACTTCATCCAGCAGTCACGACTGCAACCAGGAGTCTAAGCACCTGTAGCACTATAAACTTGAGACCTTACCTGTCTACCAAATGCATTACAGCCCAGGCTAGACACCAGTGGGTAGTTTTCTGACATGTGTCAGGAGATTTGTAGGGAATGAACATAAAAGTACTGTGGGAAGAATAACAGATAAATGTGATGCGAAGTGGAGTCAGAGTTGAATTGGAAAAGTTGAGTCAGTCAGTCACAAAAAATCTGTCAGCTCTAGAGACCATGCAGAGCTGCAGAGTCCGAGCTGGAGTTAGTCACAGTCAAAAGTTTTGTTCAGGACAGGGTCAGAGTTAGTTTTTGAAAGTCAGAATTTAAGTCAGAGTCACTGAAAATCAATGGACTCCACAGCCCTGCTAGAAAGGGGTCCTAGTTCTGAACGTCTGTTGGTCTAAACTTTACAAAGTTTAATACCTATTCCACCATTTTCTTTTTTTTTAATTGAACCTTTCAATCCATGTGCCTACAATTACAACAAGCAGTGAAACATAATTTAAAAAAAATCAAGCATGTCCAAAAAATCCAAAAGGTAATTACCCATCTGGCATGCAAAGCATGCCAAATTGACTACCTGCATATATGGAGAGCTTACCATATCTGAAGCTTTATTTTCTTCCCTCGCAGCTCAATTGTTTTAATTTTGAAGTCAATACCTGAAATGAAAACAGTTATAGCTCATTACAATAAGTTCCTCACCCTGATTCAAAACACAGAGCACCTATATCAAAGTTCAATACTTCATGTTGAGTGATCGTGTTACAAACAAGTGCAAACTGAAACCATGGATGAGATAATAATGGATTGGTGTCTTGGCAGTTTTTGGCGACATTGAGCTCAGGCCTGCCATCTAGCGGGAGAATTATCGTAAGTTAGGAGCAAGCCGAGTGAACGCCGATGATTAGCATTGTGACACATGGGAGTGTGGTGTGGTAGCGGGCTTGTTGTGCAATTTTTCAAAAGGTTATGTCTTTATATGCCAGTAAAAGCGAAGAAATTAATAGATTTATGTGCAGGGTCAGTAATAAGATAAGCAGTTCCATGTTATTTCCTCATTAAATCGTGAAACAGGGAGTTATTGGAGACTTCGCCAGCACGTGTCGTTTTCGCTATTTTTCACATGAGTTTTACTTGGCCTAAATCAAACAAATTGTTCGATCAAAGAACAAAACGAACGTTAAGTACTATCTATAAGTCTAATGAAAAAGTTGAACGGAATTGCTAACGTCATTGCCGCTCAATATGTCATTCAAGACGCTCTATGAAAAAGACCCAACCAGTGCTGCGTAGTCGATGAAATTTCAGTGACTTTGGCTCCAACTCCGATTCCGGTATCCAAATATCGACTCCGACTCCTCCGGGCAGAACTGTCGATTCACACAGACTCCGACTCTGACTCGACTCTGCAGCCCTGGTAAGTCTGTGGAGTCGATGACTTTTCGGTGACGTTCGACTCATACTCCGACTACAGCTTTTGAAAATCAACCGACTCCGAGTCGGAACAGAGCCGCTGGCTCTGACTACAACTCCGCAGCCCTGGCCCAAGATAGCCGCCTAAAACAACTTTGATGCGTGATCTTCTTCGTACATTGTTAAGGTTATATTAAACAAGGGATGGAAAAGGGAGACGAAGCCTTCACAAACAAGGATCTCCTGTTGCGGATCAATCAGCTGCTGGAACAGAAAGGCATAAACACCACGCATCTTATTTCATCGGTTTCCTAACGACTCTGCACCAATGATTATAAGCACTGATCAATGCAGTGCGAGCATCGATGTGACATTTGTGTACCAAGTTTGAGTGTTATCCGCCCAGCCGTTCTTGAGATATGGAAGCGGCACCCCGCACGTGCGCACGTGCAGTAGCACCCTCATAGTGACACATGGAGATGCATTGGCCACTGTGTGCCTAACTATTGACGAAGTGTAACTGTAATGGGCCCAGCCATTGCGGAGTTACTTTATGTGGAACAATTTCGACGCCCCTAAGTTCGCACGTGGCACGTGCCGTAACAATAAACTAAGATGAAGAAAATCAAGCGAAATTCGGAGAAGAAGGACTAAGCCTACCAAATATGTATGACATATTGCCAAACTGCTGTACCATTGTGAGTAAATGACCATTGAAAAGGTCGCACAAGCCGATGGGACTGGGCGTTTCAATAAACACCGTCTTACGCATTTTATTTTCGTTATTATCTAAATGCTGCTTGACATTTTTGGCTTTCAAGCATTTAAGACATTTTTTATCGTCTCAAGTCCAGTAAGATTACCTCCAACTCGTGGGAATATGCACTTCAAGCCAACTAACACACCACACCCACGTGTGTCATAATGCTGGGAGATGGCGTTCACTCGGCTTGCTCCTAACTTACGATAATTCTCTCGCTAGATGGCAGGCCTGATCCCAATGTCGCGGATCCCAATGTTAATTTCCACGAGACACCAATCCAGTGTTATATCATCCATGCTGAAACTTTAAACAGGAACATAAAATCAAATAAACAAAGTACCTCAGATTTTTAAAAAGAAAATTACTCACACCTTACCACTGACACTTTATTTGAATTCATAACAGAATAATACCAAACACCAGAACACATTGTGGTTGGCTTATCAGCAATGCATTTATGCCAGATGAATAAATTCAGCTTTCAGGCTTTACCTAATGGTATGGCTTTTATAGCTTCATGAAAAGTCCTTTAGCTATGCCTGTCAGGATGTACCTAACACCAGTATCACTTATCAGTAAGCAATGGCCAAACCATCACAATCAGCCTGACCATAATCCACAAAAAGGGTATCATAAGGCACACAATTTTCAAATTTTCTGAGCTGCTGCTGGACTCAATAAAGACTGCAGTCTCAACATCAACATGTGCAAATCCTGATGTTTTTTTTTTCATCACATTGGGATTTCCAGGGAAAAAGGTCTTATAAGAGGCAGGTGGAAAAGAAGGTAAATGTCAAGATAAAGGGTTTTAGTAAGCCTGGCATCCCAGGAAGATGCCAGATTGGGATGGCAGAGATATATAGACAAAAGCAAACCTAACCTGACCTAACCTGCCAGTGCCCTTACCTACAAACCTACAACCTACCCTACAAACCTACAAACCAACAGACCTACAATCTACACTGGTATCTGGCATCTTCCTGGGACAACAGGCTTACTTGTACCAGATAAGGTCCTAAGAAGATTTCAAGGATAATTTTATCATATTCTTAATTATTTGATATACTGCATCAAAAATAATGCTTACATGGCTTGTAAACAAAAAGGAAAAACACAATCAAACCTGGCCTAACCTTACCAACTTACCTAACAAACCTACAACCTACAAACCAACCAACCTACACCCTAACCTAACCTAAAACCTAAAATTTCTGCTGCATATTCATATTAACAACGTCACAATTGTAGTTTGAATCTCACCTTGACAAATACTGAAAAGAAGGCAGGCTTATTCCCACCTTTGTTAACATTTACCAAAGCCTAAGCAAATTGTAGAACAAGAATAGGGCATACACATACCTTAGGTACCACTCCCAAGCTAGCATTAAATCAACATCAAGAGGGGGCAGTCAACACTAAAAAAAAACAGCAGATCAAAGTGCTACTAACACTTTTATATGGTTAAGACGTTACATGTAGTAAAAATAAGCCTTTTAACCCGCGCCCCAGTGGCGGTCTCAGCCAACTTCGCCCTAGTGGGGGGGGGCATATGTTACCACCCACCTCTAACTCAAAAACTAAGAGGGATAGAAAGACGCGGTAAAAAGCAGTCGATAGCTCTCAATGTGTACGTTTGAAAGTATTTCAGTCATTTTTCACCTTAGAGCAATATTGGGGTCACCAGAGGTCATCAAAGGTCAAAATTTGCCAATTGTCATGATATTTTTCAGAAAACATGCCGCTATCTCAGGAACTATGGTAGCTAGAAAAACGCATGGAACAGCAAACAATAGCTTTTGAGCTCTTCTTTTGAAAAGGTCATTATCAATATTGACCTCAGGTCAACAGTTTAGCCTCCAGAGGGCAAAAACTGCAAAAATAGCTGTTTTTACGAAAAGTGTTTTTCGACAATAGCTTTTGACTACAAAAAGCCACGGCATTTCTATTGCCAGAATCGTGTTCCCCTCGCCGAGACGCGTCGAATGAGCTATAATTTGACCTTGAAAGGTCAACTTGAAAATTTGACCTCAGGTCAAGGTCATGACCTGACCGGAAAAGGTCATGTTGCATATCAGTCGATGCGTCTCAACAAGACAAACACAATGAGACCATCCCCAGCGTTCTATCTCTTTCCAATCGCGAGTTATTGGCAAAAAAACTGTTTGTAGCCTCAAGTGACCTCGGATGACCTGTCTAGAGGCTATCAGCAAAAATGACACCTTGGTCATCACGAGTGGACTAAATCATTGTGATTCTGAAATATTTGGACTGTTCCTATGCGTACACACGGATCTAGAGGCATTTTCATTTTTCTCCATTGCCTTATAATGGTAAGGTCACGCCACTGACCTGACCTTAGGTCAGGGATATAAAAAATCCGAGATATACAAATTGTAGGCGCCCATAACATCATGCAATCCACCAAGTTTGAAACCTTTCTGACAAACACTGCAGGCTGGACATGATTGCAAACTTTTTTTTAGGCTTGGTCAGTTAACTTGACCTGGTGACCTGACCTGACATGACCTGGGGTCAAAAATTTCACACATTGTCCAAAATTGATGTACAAAAAGCTACCCCAAGCGGCGCGGCGCTACGCGCCGCGCTTTTTTATTTACACGCGAAAAACGCGACAGGGTGGTAACATATGCCCCCCCCCCCACTGGGGCGAAGGTTAAGTTTTATTCAAACTTGGACCCAAGCCGCAATTGGGAGGGGTCGAGATGGGGTTCATTTTCGGCGCAGGGGGAAGAGAAGCTGAGCGGGCTGGTCGAACGTCGTGTGAAACTCACCTATTGTTGATATGAACGTGTGATTGAAAGCATCATCAGAAAATCTAAAAAGAATGCAGGTTTTCCCCACACCCGAGTCACCAATTAGCAACAGTTTAAACAAAAGATCATAGCTCTTTTTCGCCATGACGGAGGCCCACAACAGTAGTGATGGTCAAGATACTTGTCTGGTACTTGGTACTTGGTGATGCTTGATAAGCGTAGTAGTGTCGTGACAAAACTATTCCACTGCCAATCCTGCAGCTATCTCATAACTCAAGAACTACCGAGCTGGGCTAAAGAAATATCACATCTAAATTATTCCGTCCCGTCTAGATTAAAATATCGGTGCCATGCAAAGTGTGCGATAGTTCGTTTGAGCGACGTTAATTTAATGCCAAGAGAGGCGGGGCCGCGAGTCCCAGATGCCGACCAGGGGGATAGCCGGGTAGCGGCCGCCGTTATCCCGGCGGGCACGCCTTTCCGGCCGGAGGCAATTATACGGTGGACTGGCCTAAGGCCTTCTAGCAGTTTACACACACTGGTTCTCCACCCCACCGCTCCGCACACATAAATCACGCGCTCAAATTTGTCCCTCAAACAAGGGAGATCAAATCAGAGTATGATGAACTCGCGGTATCCCTTGCCCGTGAAAAAGACGAAAACGTTTAGATGACCTCTCAAGTTCACAATGTTTTTGTAGGTCACCACATTCGAAAATGGCTTATAAAACTATTGTTGCAATTCAAATGCAATTACCTTTGGTTAGAACTTAGATCTGTACGTTAGTTTCTTAGTATTAGGATGACTGCAAGGGTGACTGTGGAATAGCAGCGTTAGGAGTCCCAGGACAATAGAGATGGGAAACAGGTTTCAGTGATACTTGTGGTATTTGAAGTAAATTATTCTGTAAGATATTTTCCACAGTTGTTTGTTTGTTTTCATTTTTATTATTCACGCTCAATTGTATGTAAAAATATCAATTGAGAGATGATTTAAAGTTTTTGTAGTACAAAAATCTGAAAATTTCAAATGCGACGTTTGCGGCTCCCACATAAAAAACGACGCAAAACAACGAGAGCTTGATTTGAAACTGTTTTGTTAATTGTGTAAAATTAATTTAAAAGCTAACGAGCTGAACGGTTTAATGTTTAGTTAAGAAGTGTGAAGGACAAGCAACAGATCCAGTTGTTTCAAGATCATTAAATGATTAGCTAATCAACTGTCCTGCCACCTCTAACGGCTTCAGCTTATGAGTTTGACTTCTTTTCATTTTGAGATTTTTGTCATAATTCCAGGCTTTGTATGAATCACAGCTTATTGCCCACGGTGCGCACAAGTCCTTATATACTGGTGTGCATAAATATTTTCGTTGATCACAGGCATTATCAAGGTGTGGTATCACAATCATAGTGTGTAGATCAAGGTGAGTCTGCTTAAAGTTGCGGGCTTGCAGTGATGATGGAGAACAGTCTGCTTACCTACCTACCTACTTATTTCAGAGCGTCAATGCTGCCGCCATTCAATCGCAGCAGGCTGTGGTCACTAGCATACCTGTAACCTGTTCAGGTTTGGTTATATCGTGTGAATAGTGCATGTTTTCTGAGGAAACCTCTTGAGTTAATATTTTGTTTTGGAATGCTTTCCTAAGATTCATGAACACTAAGTGAAATAAAAAGATGTAGTTGCCATGTCTAATACTAATTCATGATTTTTTTTTTTAAACTCACAACTGTCACAAAAGTGTTCACACCATGACGTAAGCTGGTCTGTCTCTGCGCCAATTTCTCAGGACGCCACACGGTATTTATCGCATTGGTTCATAGTATCCATATGCCTAATAGTTCAATGTTTCTCATTTGGGCTCCCTGTGATGTAGACTGGGCTTGGGGACCTCAAATGATAAAGACACTTATTTTGTCCCTCAGTGTCAATGATGCATGCTTGGTGTTTACAGTCCTCATAGCTCAAAGTGCATGTTGGATCCTTCATGCAACCAGATTATCTGTACTTGAGTGCTGCTGGTTGTCAGTTTTGTATGCTGCCAGAAACTTCCACACATGGGTAATATGTGTAAGTTCCTTTGCTGATATTTCTTGGTTCCTCATTGGTGAACTGTACAGACTACAGATAATGTGGATTCAGTCAATCAGGAGTAAAAAAAAAACTCCAGCAAGCTGGGAGCCTGTTGATTAAGAAACATTGACCAAATAGCACCCTGGTTTAATGGTAAAGTTTGGAGCCTCAAGTCAAAATCATCACAGGAGGAAAGTGACATGGTCTTCCTGGACCTAGTGTTGGCATGACACTTTCTATCAGTTCCACTCAAGCTTGAATAACAATGGAGCTCTAACAGAGTGCACTATCCCACTGACTATCCTATCCTAAAACTCACTGCAACTGAGACACCTGTCAGGAACCCTATACATTAGGCCATAAGGGGGACATGCATTCCTTTGTTTGGAAGTGCAGCATCATGCCATCAGCACTGTAGGTATCTCTCCCTCAGCTGTTAGCCTATCATAGGAATTTATAAGTACCCACTGACAATCTAGGTATTCTAACTAAGCAGGTTTATTGTTGAGAAACAAGGGCCAAGGAACCAGAATCGCGCCGGTTCATCAGATCCGCACAGGCACCGCCGGTACGGCTAAATCTGCGCCAGCACCGCGGTAAATCCACCGCCATCGCAGTAAATCCACACCAGTACCGCGTTAAATCCACCACCATCGCAGTTAATCCACACCAGTACCGCGGTAAATCCACCGCCATCGCAGTAAATTCACACCAGTACCGCGATGAGTCCACCGGCACCACGTTAAATCCGCACAGCGGTAACTCCGCACCAGCATCGCGGTAAATCCGCACCAGTACCGCGGCAAGTCCTCACTGGTACCGCGGTAAATCCGCACCAGTACCGCGGCAAGTCCTCACTGGTACCGCGGTAAATCCGCACTAGTGCCGTCGCCGTGGTAAATCTGCACTGGCAATGAGTGATTCACAGAGTTCTATAGCCTTGGATTCATGCTGGCTGGGAACACGGGACTGACGAGATCTCGTCGGAGTTGCTGTACTGCAGTCTGGATTCATGACGTTTATTTCAATCAGAACCATCGGGTGTGTTTAGCAGTGTCTGTTCCAGAGGCGGATCCAGCTCAGAGGTTTGGGGGGGGGGGGGGCAAACCATAAAAATTTATCGATTCTTTCCATGCATCGCCCATAGGCGTAATGTTAAAATCATGCCGTTTGGGGGGGGCAAATGCCCATTTTGCCCCCCCCTGGATCCGCCACTGGTCTGTTCCCCCCTTTTACAGGCTGATCAAGATGTCTGTTGATTCGTCTGCACTCTTGGCTTCGGCGAGGCACGAGAAGTCGCTCAGTCTGCTCACCACCCGCTTTGTATCGCTTCTGCAAGAGTCCTCTGACGGAGTGCTGGATCTGAAACATGTAGGTCTTAGCTTTCTCAGTTAAAGGAAACAGTTCACTTTCCTGAAACTAGTATTTTGCTATGGATTTATGATTTATTATGCTCAAAATGATCAGAAAATAAAATAAAACCTTTTTGTAAAAACAATTATTTTCTATATTTTAATATAGGACGAACTATATTCTATGTAAAATAATGTTTGACGCGGAAGCTTATTACGCGTTGACCAATCATATTGCGTAGTTCAAACCTACGCATGCTGCATTGGCTGTAAGCAGCATGCTGATAGGCTGACGATGACGTGGCTGCATTCCTGTGCAAGGCACACATTCCTCTGCAAGGCACTCTTTTCGGAACGAGAAATGGAATATCTTCGTCTAGGGTGATCGTTGAGCCGTAAAAGCTCCTGATTTGTGCTAGTCTCAGCTCAAGCTACGAAACTGCTATTCCAGTTCAAAACCCCATGTTAAAAGTGAACTATTTCCTTTAACTTGTTTTGCGTCAGAGCAACGCGAGTCTCCGCCTGAAATGCATTAGAATGACATGTTATGTGCTATGACACTTCTACTGTGTCCTGCCTGGTGTGTACTTCAAGCAGCTTATGCTTATAAGCTTGATTCTTCCTGGATGGAGCACATTTTACCGGTAATTATCAGCTATTCTCTTTATCGTCTAAGCTCTAAATGTTATGCTCAAACCATTGATATTCATGCCCAAACTGAGAGCAAAACATTATTTACAGGCTGCTGACCTTCTAGAAGTGCATCAGAAAAGGCGCATTTATGATATCACAAACGTTTTGGAGGGCATCGGCTTGATTGAAAAGACAAGTAAAAACAGCATAGTCTGGAAGTAAGTTGATTCCTGTGATTTTACCGATCACTCAGTGCCAGTGCCAATACGTTCTCACATGCTATCAGTTACTTAAACAATTGCATAACGTTTGCTATTTTTGCGTCAATGCCATAACCATTTACGATCTGTGATTGTCCGTCTCACCGTGCGGAGGAAACCGTTACGTCATCATATTCTCATCGTCGTCACTGCATTGACTTATCCGTTGTGACTTATCCGGATAAGTCACTGTCGTGACTTATCCGTTGTACTATCTATGATTTTTTTCTTCTCTTTTTGCGTCACTTTGAATTAAAACGTGATTGTTTCGTAGGGGTGGTGGCCCTGGCACCAACACACAGGAAGTTCAAGACAAACTGTCGTTCCTGAAATCAGATGTGGCCATGTTGGAATCGAAAGAAGCGCTTCTGGACAAGCACAGACAGGTTGGTCAATATCACCAAGAACACTCCATCCAGCAGCAGCGGTGCCAAAGTGGGATTCGCTTCCGAAAATGGGAAGCTAGAGCATGACATATTCATTATGCATATATCGGAACGTGGCTGGGCTATTGCTGTGACTTGTTGGGCTGGTGCATACGTTTTCTCGGCGTTTTTATAGTCGCTAACGTAAGTGGGATCGATCGACCCTCACCCCCCCCCCCCCCCCAGCTGTCCGATCCCTGAGTGAGTTAGAGCTTCGTGAAAAATGAGTGTATTGCTCGTGACGAGAGGAAGCAGATGGCACGCAAATTTAAGGTCTTATAGGTCATTGGTGGCCTTCCAGGTCAGGTCAGTGACCCAAGTGTCGAGAAAATCGGGACCTGCCTAAACTTTGTGAATTAGAATTAGGGTTCAACTGCGAGATATGGGGTCCTGCTTCTGAATTTGTCCTTCGTTTTGCTCGATTACGATGGGGCTGTGCATCTGCGTAAGTCGGCTGGGCCAGGTCACGTCAACTATCAGGTGTCCCGCTTAATTAAGATTCTTAATAGTAGTTTATCTTAAGCGGCACGCAAATGACATCAAAAGCTTCGACACGTGTCAGGAGCTCAAAAACCAGTTCCCAAATGCCTAAAGGAATGCACTATGCAGAATTGAAAATCAGCTTAAAAGAATGCAAGGCGTAACATGTTATAGAAATTTTGGTCGTAAAATTAAAGTCACATAGGATATCAAGGAGATATGATTTTGATCTGCACTTTTCGTGACCTGGACACCCATTATAATCATGGAACAAATACCATTTCTCATTTTGGTAGTTTTTTTCTTACAACTTCTGGAGACGCACCGAAATGCGCGCTTACATGCTTCAAATTGCCGTAGTAGGTAGCACTACAAGGAAGCGTGCTTGGTCCCGTGTTTTCCGTGTTTTGACCCGTTAGCCCATGACTGTTTTTTTTTTTTTGACCCAATATCCATCTCCTCTCAGTTTGTGCTGATGAGCATAAAGAACATCACCGAAGACCCGAGTAACTACAGCCACGCCTACACGTGGCACGAGGACCTGTGCGGCTGCTTTGAGGGCGACACGCTGCTGGCGGTGCAGGCGCCCAGCGGCACCCAGCTGGAGGTGCCGCCGCCGGTGAAGGTGAGCCGTCGGCTTTCTCAGTTTGCACGACAGTGTATTAGTGTAATCTCATATGAGGTACATGAGTGACTGATGCTGTTCTGTGTTTTAATCAATGCGTGTTCGGTGTTGCAGACTTGTTCATGGCATACCGCGAGGTAGGCGGGCGGAAGTTCTAATTATGTAAAAAGTTAGCAGTCCAATTGGTGTTGTTTCCTTATATATTGCACAGTCCTATACACGCGAGTCGATAGACGCCATATTATTATTTTTTTCCCGACAGGACTCGGAGACCGACAACAACCGGTACACGATTCACATGCGCTCGTCGGCTGGCCCGATTAACGTGCTGTACGTGAACCGGGAGCCGGACGGGGCCAGTCCCACCTCCGTCCAGGTGCCGCCGCCGCCGCCGCCGCCGGCCGCTGCCGGACAACAGGTGAGCCAGCCTCCCAGTCTGTGCCTGCCGTATCGTAGTCACTTTCTCGTAGTTCCTCGCTCAAGGGTTCTGTTTATATAAATAACATGGAAGCGGCAAAGCACAATAGTTTGTTATATTACGATTACTTTTTCCCCTGTGCTAACATTCTTGTCTGCTTGAGGAAAGGTCCTGACAATCTGATCTGACTCGCGATCGTGCGTGCTTTACGCCAGGTGCCGGAGTCGGCGCCGGAGCGCACAGCCCCGGAGCCCGGTGCGCCGCCGGCCGCCGCCTCCAGTCCGCAGCCCGCTGCTGCCGCTGCCGCCGTCAGTCCGCCTCCGACCCCGGCCGCGACAGCACCGCCACCCCGGCACGGTAAGTAGACGCCGCTGGGGCCACAGAGGTCCTCTCAACTTCAGGGGTACAGAGCTACAGGCAGGAGAGAATGCAAAGGCGGTTACTTCGGCACTTCTTCAACATTCATAACGTTAATGACGTATACCTGTAGTTGTTAATTGGTACCTGGAATTGATAATTCATGAATTGTTCAATTTAATGTGTAAATTGTCATGGTAGACTTTTCTAGTGGTGTCTGGTGCAACCAAAGCCCTAAAACTACGGTGCAAGTAAATCCTAACTAACTTGGCAGGTAGTTTGGTACAAGAGGCCTCTGTTCTCGATGTTTAAAGGGACCCTCCCACCTTCAAAAAAGTTAATGAATTGGCACGAAAGTGATGTCGCTCGGTTCAGAAAGAGCGAAAACGAATATCTACCAAATTTCATCGAAAAATATTCACCGGTTTTCAAGATATTCGACTTTTACTTTTGTTTACTTTTTGGGATCTCCGCTGTTCCTAGCGACTTTATTTGAAAGTGCGGCATTTGTTGCGCGCAAAGCAGCATATACCACCGCGTGCTACCAAACGTTTTAATAAAAGATTTAAAAATCGTTAGATCTCCGCTGACGTCACAAATTCTAAGGGGGCATACCAATGCACTAGCCCCTTAGAATCCGAAAACTGCAAGTTTGAAATTCCATATCTCCGAATTAAAGCATTTGTCGATGTTGTGAGTGCCCAAACCGGTATTTGCAGGCCATGGCCACCAATTTGGCTATCTCAACTCAAAACTAATGTTAAGGTGGGAGTGTCCCTTTAATATTTTCAAATTAATGCCAAGTGATACAGTTTGTGTCAAGTTGTCCTTAATTGCCCTCTTCTCATATTTTTTTACTGTTCTGTCAGTTTTCGAAGCTCCGTATTTCAGATTGATTTTTTTTTTTTTTTTTGCTGAGGCCAGCGGATGTAATCGGGTATTGCGATGTATAAAACACTAAATCCCTGGCGACATTCATTATTCAGTAGGGTGAAGTCGTATAAGAGTACGCACTTAGTGGATTTCTTGCTCTCATTTGTTTAATATTTGAAGGAAAGAAATCGCAAATAGGGAATATTAAAGTTCATTGAATTAGCCATCAACCCATGGGGCAACGATCCTTCAGCGTAAATGGAAGTGGTCTAAAACTGACATTTCCTGAACCGTTGCACTTGCGTACTCTTACCATATGGGGTGCGTAAGAGTACGCACGCCAGGCGGGTGGAGTACGCAAGCATATGAACACACACCTATGCAGCTTGCACTGTCCAAATGCTAAACTTCAAACTCAGAAGGCGTTTAAGTTAATTCTGGTATCCAAAAAGAAAAACATAAAATAAATCTTTCAAGTCTATAAATCAGGAAATAATCATGTCGTGTGTTTCTTAAAAAAAATGCACGATCAAAAAGGAGAATAACTCGTATTTGGAAGAATTTCGGGTACGCATCTGCATCACAGTGCTCCATTGATGATATACCTACAAAACAAGCGTCATTGAGCGAAAGATTAATAATTCTATATTTCTGTATATTCGATTTAATGTATAATTCTGCGTACTCTTACCCTCCTGAACAGTGCGTCCTCTTACCGTACATGCAATTCGCGCACAAAACAACCCCGAAACGTTGTGCAAAACTTCGCAAACAGAATATTGCACTGTACAGTATTTCCCCAGATAACCTCACAAGTTTCCCACAACAATCACGGAAATGTACCTTATCTCAACTGCCAAGTATCAAAATTATTGTACCATATCATAATAATATCATAACGCTCGAAAATAATATTCATCGCCTTAAACTCAACAGCGTCGCCGCTCAACGCCCACGTTCCGTTGGTGACATGCACGTACTGGCGGCTTCATGTCACTTCATGAACTCGACAAACCCGCGTTGCTAAGCAACCGAAACAGCTGATGCGTACTCTTATCGCCCGCGTACTCTTACCCGCCCTTACCCTATATTATGCTCTGCACTCCGCAATATGTGAGTCTTGATGCTAACTTTGGAACAAACTGAATACTTGTCCGCCTAGGCGCATTGACACGTGTTCTGTATAGCAATGTTGCTTATCCGCGGGTCCAAGCACTAAGCAGGGATTGTAATGTGGACGGTACCCTAGCCAATACTCACTGAGAGTAACGTGGGAGCCAAAAGGGCGATGAACAAATTTCGTGACGAACTGATTTAGAGCAACGGACGAACAGAAACCTTATCACAGGGAGCAGGTACCAAATATTTGTCCGAGAAAATAGACGGAGTTCAGAAGTCAGACGGTGTTGCGCTTCTTTGGACGTTGGGTTTATCACGGATTTATGAGATTGTGGTAAGAGAAGCGTAACGCCAAATAATTGAGTTCTCTGGACAAACGGATATAAGAGATTGTGTTGAAACGTACCATGGACGGCGGAACTTAGTAAGCCAGAAATAATATGCTGACGTGGTCCTCACAGCGTTTATTAGCCGTCACTCATACTCCACACGTCAGTCCTAGAGGTTGACGCTGTAAGCGGCGTGAGTATGATGCTGTTGTGTTTGGAGCGCTCCCGCCGGGCTGCCTGTCCGCTGCCGGGCCGCGCGGCGTACTGACCGCCGCTGACCGCGCCGCCGGTCGTCGTTGTAGAGCCCGGCGCGGCCGACTGTCTGCTGCCTGCCGTATCCTGCGGCCTCTCCCATCCGGACGTGTCCACTCCCGTCCCAGAGCCCGATCCCGGCGAGTTCCGTGAGTACCTACCGCGCGTGCTCGACGCTGTGTGTATGAGGGAGAGATACTGGGAATTTCGCGACGTGATTAGGTGTCTTGTGTTAGGTATCTGAGCTTCCAGCAGTAAAAGTAACTTGTTATTTAGGAGCTCAGTGGGCCGACGCAAGATAAATTAAGACTACACATACATTGTCCTAGGACATAATATATTGTGATTGATGTATTGGCGTAATTATTCTCTTACGTAATGTCCAGAAACATCCATTTACTATTTCTAACATTTCCTTTACTAATGTGTTTCACGTTTTAGTGTGTGAGGATTGCCTCATTTTTGTCATTACCTTCCTGCTCCTTTTTCCGCAGGACCAGCCTTCCATCTCACACCTCCGGCGACGGACAAGGACTTTTGGTTCAATCTGGAGCCGCACGAGGGTGTGCTGGATCTCTTTGACGAAATCAACTGGCCTCAAGGGCTATGATTCAAGTCGAGCTCGGGTCTGTCTGAACGTCCCCGGTTCGTAAGTGGTGTTTGAACTTGCTATTCCAGCAGCAGACCGGGTACGGTGTTGGACGGTGCCTTGTCATATGTTGTGTGCGATGTGATACGTTCGCCGTTACCTACACGTGGAATGTCGGTTCAGCCGGTGATACGACCCGCGGCGCTACGACGAAGGATTGCGGCGTGGCTCCCCACTCTGGGTGAGGGACCTTCGCGTGGGAGTTGTGTTACCGATGGTTGGGCGCGGACAGGCTGGTCATGGCTGATATCGTTTTATCGTCGGCATCTGTGCAGTGCCGTTTCGTATGGTTACACAAGTGACCATTTCGAACATACGCAGTTACCTAGAATGTTCAATCACTTCCATTTCTCATTGTCATGTTAGTCACGAGAGCGCAACATCAGCGAACATCGTTATTATTGGGTACAAATACAGTGCTCCGTGTGCTCATGCTGAGTTTTATTAATCTCGTCTACAATTATGTTCAGCGTGAGGATTGTATGAATGTTAGGAAATCCAAAGTCGAGAGGCTCTTAGTGCATTACGACTAGAGTTGCAAAGTTTCCCTACCGCATTACCGGCATGCCGGTAATTTTTCACTACCGCAGGTTTTTTTGTGGTATCTGGCATGTATTGCCGGTAGCATGCCGGTATTTTTGGTTTTGCACAAAAAAAAAATTATTAGCATATGATTCAAACTTTGGACACTAAGAGGAAAATGTGGCATCTCTTGTAGGGGTAAACTGGAATCAACAATGCAGGTTTTTTAGTATGCCGGTAATTTGGTGGTGTTTTTGCTTTGGGCGTGGTAGCATGCCGGTATCCCCAAAAAAATTTGTGGGGCGGGGCGGTGCCGGTAGCAGCCTTTGGGGGAAATTTTGCAACTCTAATTACGACTAAGATCAGGTAAATATGTGGATGAAGTACAAAGAAGATTGACTTTTGAATAGCATAAAGTCGTATTGATTTCTAGTGCTCCATGCTGCTTACTGAATAAGGCATCCGTCTCCTAATTCGATGGCAAATGCAGCGAGTTCTCCCACGCTAGGGCCGTTCATTAATCAGGACATAATTTGGTTGGAACTGCGAGTGCTGTTACCTTGACGACGAATCATCTGGCTTCATAGAATTCAAGGCTTCAGGACATCACTCTCGCTCGATCCTATCACTCTAATCACTCTCACTCACTCCAATCACTATAGCAGCTAACTCGATCCGCTTGCACAAGCTGCTGGATTGTGGTCGGCGATGCTGCTCTCGCTGATTCACGCTTCTCGCTGAGTCACGCTTCCGTGGTTGGTTGACTCCACGGCGCTCGATGCTTTGCCCGGCGCCTGGACTGCTTACTATGGTCACTACACATGCATCTCCGTTGAAGAAATATCGGGAAAATAACCAATTATGTTATCTTTACATGTCTGGGCACGGCCGTTACTTGGTACGGCGGGTCTCGTCTGTAAAAGAATGCTGAAGTTTTTAGAGATGGTCTGATTTTGCCAGCTGGGTTCATCCTTCTCGATTGTTTAATTCTCAGATATTTTTTCTCATTTAATCCCCCAAAAATGATATGTCGCCAGTCGCATATCCGGCATTGGTGAACCAATGTATAGCATAGCGGTCAATTTATATTGGCATATTTCCTATTCGAACGTTCAGGTGTTTACACAGTCGGTCTTTTACGCGAGCCGAGTTCATTTAACTTGTAACGGGGTCATCTCCTTTGACCTTATCGGTGCCACACGGTTAGAGCGTTGGACTCCGAACACTGTACGATGGGAGCTCCGAACGGTGCACTGTCGACTGGGCTAGAAATATGAATACGAGTATAGTGCATGCATTTTTTTTTTCTCGAAATGTTCAGCTCGACTGCCTGAATTTCTAATGGGTGATGGCGACTTTGACGAAGCGACCCTTTTCCTTTGATCGAAGAAACTAAGAGCACACTGGATGAACTGGATGAAGAAGGAGCGGAGCTTCCCTTGGTACTGACTGTGCATTTTACGTAGTTCTTGGCGCCATACTTTCTGAACTTTTTGATGTCTTCCAAACCGCATTTTTTTACAAAAAGGTTGACATTGTTAATGGGGTAAATTATCTCCTTAAATGTGTTTTGTTGTGGCAGGCCTGCTTCACTAGTGTTACCGTTTTATGCCAGTAGGTATTAAATTTAGTTCTCCCTGTAGATCATCACATTGTCGTGGAGCAGGTTTTCGATCCTGTTTCGATCGCCGGGCGACATGGGGTCCTGCGGCTCCTCGCACGTGGGCAGCACCTCCAGGAACAGGTGGCAGCGCACGGCCTGCGCCGCTGTCGGCTGCTGCGACAGCAGCAACGCCATGTCGCGCTTCAGCGCCGCGCCCCAGCGGAGGCGCTTCTGGCGCAGTCGCTGCGAGGCGGTGATTGAGTGCGCCGCGGGAGCGGCCTCGGCTCTTGGCTGCCGACCTGTCGGTCTAGTGGAGGGCCCGGCACCGCCGGACACTCCCGAGGCAGCGACAGGCTCAGTGCACCTCTCCACGTCTCGGATATCTTCGGAACTGGTTTTACCGTCCGTTTCCTGGTCAGTGGGCGGCTCCTCAGCTACTTCTGATCCAGAACTGTCGTGCTGAGTTGTATCCGGGCCCTGTCCGGATACTTTTAAAATGAATTCCTGCTCTCGTTGGGGTGAGCTGGTTTCGTCCATTATGATGTATCATGTGTTTGAAAAGGGTATGCAGCTAAGACCTCAGATTTAGCAAATAATGGATACTTCATGAAGGCTGTAATGGTTCAGCTCGGCATTGGTTCGAGACCGTGACCAAACCGAGACTATACAATCGAGTCATTTATTCAAGGCCCATTTATTCATCGTTTATGTTCGGGCTACCACATGATTTATTATGACGGGCACCTTTAGCTCAAATGCTAACCGACGCCCGAGTTGATGGTTTCAGACCTGCCCCACACGGGTGCGTGTTTCATACGGTACGCTGCCTTGCGGCACGGTATGTCGGCTTAGTACGGTGGACATCACTACGCGCTGCGGTGCGGCACGCATTGGACGCGGCTCAATACCGCGAGATGCAGCGGGATTCCAACGTCAGGGTGCTTGAAGGTCATCAAACGCCGAATTTTCCTGGCTATATTTTTGGACAGGACGACGCACAACTCGTCAACCAGTAGAGTTACAATATCGGAGGAAAGCGCGCGCGTTCCATGGCTCCAAAAGGAGCAGGCTCCTGGCTAAGACTTTATCGCTTTTGCCATGAAACCCGCGCACCGACGGGGGGGGGGGGGGGCGGATATCCGCCCCCCCTGAGGTTTTTCGCGAATAGCGGGAAAATCACGCGCCGCGAAATTTGGTATGACTATAACCTCATCAATTTTAAACATGGTGTGCAAGTTTGAACCTCCTACCTTTTAAGGTCAGGTCACCAGGTCACTTTGAATGACCCAACCTCAAGTCACTTTTTTGCAACTTTGTTACCGTGCCAGAGCTACAGTAGATGTCGGAGGCCTTTGAAAGTCGCAGGATATTATAAGGTCATTAGTAGCTACAATTTGTATATCTCGGAATTTTGATATCGGTGACCTAAGGTCAGGTCAATTTCGCGATCTCCCCATTATAAGTCAATGGGGGAAAAATCAACTCCCTGTTTTTACCACTAAAACGGGTCGGAATGGCCCCATATACCATACATGACTTCATATACGATCAACCTTCACTACCTTGAGGTCTGTTTTGCTGTTGGGCAGCTGTGAGGTCATGTGACGTCATCAAAGGTCACCAAAGGTTTTTGGCCAATAACTCCGTACAGGAACAAGATACAGACGCGTGGATGGTCTCATTGTGTTCAGCTCGTCAAGACGCATCGAATGATATACATGATGACCTCGAGGTCACGTGACCTGAGGTCAACCTTTGACCTTGACCTTTCGAGGTCAACATATATATCATTCGATGCGGATTGACGAGAGGATCACGATGATGCCCTTAGTTTGTTCCTATCTTGACTAATTCGAAAGTTATTCGAGAAAAACTCTCTCCATATCTAGCGCCGCCATTTTGACTTTTTCGACCCCTGTGACGTCATCTTTGACCTGACCTGAAAATGACCTTAGTAAAAATTGTAGATCTTGGCCGTGCGTATCCGATGCCGTTTACCGTTTGTCGCTATCTTGCTTCGTTCTCGAGATCTCAGGGGGGGGGCGGTCATCCGTCCCCCCCCCCCGTCGGTGCGAAGTTGGCGCAGACCCCCGTCGGTGCGCGGGTTAAGACAAGCCAAAGAGCGAGATCTTTGGTTAGGTAGCCCAATTTTCTACCCGTGCAGGAAAAAAAATAGCTCGTGTTAAAAACATGTTAATATCGTGTTAATACAAGGTCAACAGGTAACAAGCTCTGTAATCTTGCCAATGGTCTTGCCAGTAGTAATGTACGGAACAAATATAGCATGTATGCGTTTCGATTATTAACCCTCGCCCCGTTGGGGGGGGCAATTTGGCCCCCCTGTGGTTTTTCCTGAATAGCAAGAAAACGGCGGCGCGCAGCGCCGCCAAATTTTGAGTACCTTCCCGGGCATCAATTTGACACCTTCACACCGAATTTCAAGTCATAGATCACCTTAGGTCAGGAGTTATTGAGGTCAAACTGAGGTAATGTTCGAGCAAAAATGAGCAAAAAAAACGTGCAATCTTGAAACGCTCACCAAATCTACAGTTACAAAGCAATTTCAAAGTTCTTTATATGGTCTAGTAGACAAAAAGCAGCGCTACAAAACTGTTATCTCGGATTTTCAAAATTTTGGGGTTTTGACCCCCAAAATTTCAAAAAATTGATTTTTTTTAGAAAAACTAAAAAAAAATCCAAAAAATCTTCCGAATTTCGAAAAAACGGAATATATATGATAGTGCCTGTACTCTTCTATATACATACCAAATTTCAGATCGATATCTCGTTTTTTGGCCAAGTTATAGCGAAAAAACTGTTCAAAAAATGATGACGTTAAATTTTTTTAACTTAATTTTTAGCGAGTATAGACCACGTAGGGCAAAACAAAGACCACCATTGAACTCCCCGTGATGAGCTGCATCGAATCGATACCCATTTTATGCAAAAATATCAACTTTGAAATTTAACCTAATTTGACCTGACCTTGACCTGACCTTGACCTGACCTTGACCTGACCTTGACCAAAACGTGACCTAAGCTGGCCCAAAAGTCTGCCTGATCCACATAATCGCATTTGTCATGTAAAATGGACCATAAAACATGTATCACACGACACTTTCATATTGTGACCCCCCAGTGACCTGACCTCTGTGACCTGACCTGGTATCAGTGACCTCAAATAGCAAAATATGTGTTTGAAGAACATTTCCCCATCGATGATTTTCAATGAAATGCATTTTACTCGATTTTACAACGCATTTCTTGAAATGTCTGTAAACGGTGAAAATTCGACCTTTGACCTGACCTGTGACGTCATCGGTTTGACCTAGGTCAATAAAATTGGGTCACAAGGTAGTTCCCTGATAGGGCTATCCAACACCGTTTGCCGCTTGTCGCTAGGTTGCGTGGTTCTCGAGATCTCCCCAACGGGGCGCGTTGCTCGGCAGAGCCCAACGGGGCGCGGGTTAAATCGGCATCAGCATGATATCGGTACAAAGAAAACAAGACATATCTTGTTTTCTTTTTACCGATATCATGCTGATGACGATTTAATAACCGAAACGCGCTCAGGCTATGCCTATTTGTTCCGTATTTTACTTCTTGTCTCCATCAATACCTAAACAATGGTCTTGCCAGTAATGTGCGGCGATGGTCCCCCGCATGCATCGAGAGTAGCCGATACTTGATGGAAAGTATGAGGCTACCCTACAAAGAGACTGCAAGTGAATCGGACTATATCAAAGCGTTACGTAAGCGCAACAATTTTTACACCCTCGGTTTGGCAGTTGTCATGTTTGACGTGCCTGCTGGTCCCTGATATGCATCGGCATTGGGAAGTAGTTGAGTTCAATGGACCTATCTGATGCAGAAGACAGCTTACCGATCGGTCGAGCGATTGTCGAAATATAAGACTGTATACAAAAGCGTCACTGGGCCGGACCGCGTCGGGCCGCTCATACCTATATTTTACTGTTAGTTGCTACCACAGATGAAGTTGAGCTTTTTGGTCGACGATCCAGTAGCGGCGGCGGAACATCTTCAATTAGGGGGGGGGGGGGCACTGCCGACTTTTGGTCCCATTCTTTCCATGCAACGCCCATAGGACTAATGTTAAAATGGCAAAATCAAGGGGGGCACGATGCCCCGGTGCCCTTCCCCTCGTTCCGCCGCCTATGCGACGATCTCGACTTTTCCGCTTATTTTGAAATATGAACTTATTTTAAGGAATTGAATGCTGTAACTGAGCATGATTAAGATTATGGTGAAGTTAGATAAATATAGTAGTCTGATGCTCATGAGTAAGCCATATGAAATATATATTTTAGAGAAGAGTTGTATAATATTTCGAGCACGGCTCGTCTTCAGATACATAGGCCGAATGACACATAAAAAGACGACAAGAAACGACGTCGACATAGGATAGAAAACAACAATCAAACGCGTGGGAACGTGATAAAATACTATAACAGGCGTGACAAAATATCTCGGAGCTTTACATCAGGAAAGATGGTGATAAATGTGCAGTAATTTTAAAAAATAAAAATTCAGCACAATCATACATATTGTGTTGAATTATACAATCATACAAATATACAATTATTTAATAATGTGGTGTAGACTAGACAGTTAGTGTGTACGTGTATAGGATGAATAATTGTATATTTGTATGATTGTATAATTCAACACAATATGTATGATTGTGCTGAATTTTTATTTTTAAAATTACTGCACATTTATCACCATCTTTCCTGATGTAAAGCTCCGAGATATTTTGTCACGCCTGTTATAGTATCTTATCACGTTCCCACGCGTTTGATTGTTGTTTTCTATCCTATGTCGACGTCGTTTCTTGTCGTGTTTTTATGTGTCATTCGGCCTATGTATCTGAAGACGAGCCGTGCTCGAAATATTATACAACTCTTCTCTAAAATATATATTTCATATAGCTTACTCATGAGCATCAGACTACTATATTTATCTAACTTCACCATAATATGAACTTACCTAGCCGAAGCCCTAACACTTTATAGTGTCATCCACAATTCATTTTTTGGTCTACTGGGTAAGGGTTTGTTTACCCGCAGACCGAATCTGCAATAATCTGTAGGCATGAGATGATGTGACATGTGCCCGAATGCATTGACCAGGGTTTGGCGTTTGGTTAATTTTTTTTCAAAGAAACAAACACAAACAAACTGTTTACAAATAATTCTGTTCGCGAACATATGACATCATTTAATTCTTAATAAAACAGCGAACAGTTCGCGAACGTTCATGAACTGCTCGCGAGCACGGTAAAGAGACCCTTCCTTAGCCGTTTCGCTCCTAATTGAGCTAGAACCTTGCGGAAAAATCGGGCGTGTGCTTCGTTACGAGATAAAGCGGCTGGTATCCGATTTTAAGGTCTTGGGCTAACCGGTGACGCCTCAAAGTAGAAGCTAGGTTTTTGGTAAATAATTTCGCCACATATGGTGGCACATCCGTGATTGTGGCACCATCGTGCCCGTCAGGGCCCGGCGCGTCAAAAATATACTTTTTGTTTGGGTTAGGTCATTTTTGGATGTCGACCTCAGGTCAAGGTGAGGTCAATGCCACTCGGGTCACAAAACTGCTTGGAGGGTGTTATGCTGCATATCACTCGATGTGGCAGTTCTTTCTGAGTCAATTGATGACTCGACCGACTCGCTGGCTCAATTTGTTCGGGAAGTAGGTATTGGTGAAAAACTCCTAATGCACCGAAATACCTACCTAAGTGACGTCTTATATAACGGCAATTGCATTGCATTGTATTGTATTGCATTGTACTAATTGTACATTTAAGGGCGTTCCAATTCCAAGTTGCGTGACGATAAGGTCTGAAATGCATAATTTAACCCTCGCCCATGTAGGGGGGGGTTGGTGCAACCCCCCCCTGAGGTTTTTCGGAAATAGTGCAAAAACGGCGGCGCGCAGCGCCGCCAAATTTTGGGTACCTTATGGGGCAAACCTTGCGCATCTTTTGATAAAAAAAAATTTGACCGGGTCATGTCAGGTCACGGAGTTATGACGTCACAAAGGGAACAGCCTCCGGCCGGATTTTCACAAACTGAGTGCCAACGCCCGAGGTTTCCTGCCGGTGGTACGGACATCGGTTGATGGATCGTGATGAAACTTCCCATGCATGTTGGGGCAAGTATTGGCTATCATATGGTATAAGAAACTTGACCGGGTCAGGTCAGGTCACGGAGCTATGACGTCACAAGAGGAACAGCGTCCGGTACTATTTTTGAAAAGCGCCCGAACCACTATTTTGCTAATTCTTGTCACCTCAATGGAAATATGCAGCAATATTAGCTTCTATAGGGAGCAAATGGACCTCCCAAATCCAAAAATACAATCAGATTTCAAAAATTTAAATTTTGATTTTTCGAATTTCTGCCGCCGACTGTGACCTTGCCGACTTCCGGCGCTCCCAACGCGCCATTTTTAGAGCTAGGGAAACGAAATACATACCAAACGATAGAGAATTGATCAAGGAACACGATAGTGAAGGTTTCAAGTCGATATCTCCCACCGTTTTGCCGCAATCGCCGCGGAAAGTTGAAAAAAGTCTATTTTTCCGAAAATTTGACCTTTGACCGGTCAAAAGTAGGTCAAATGTTGACCTAGGACCAAAAAATATACCACCAATCGCGAGATCTCGTTGAGAGCAATCCGTTGGTTTTTTCCGCTAAGCTCTACGACGCTCCGTTTTCAAACGCCAAAGGGGGGGTCGCACCAACCCCCCCCCCCTGCATGGGCGAAGGTGGCAGATCGCCGTTTACGGGCGAGGGTTAAGCTTCAGCATTGCAAGAAGGCAGTAACATTATAAATCACGAATCCGTATGCTTTAGAAACGGTTGGCACTTGGCGCATTTTCACAAGAATAATAAAACATGCTTTCAACCGTGCGTGTCACTGAGAATAATAATGCGAAAGATATAAGAAATGGTGACGTGTTCATGAACGTTCATGAGCATTCATGGACGTTCACGAACTGTTTGTGAACAGAGCATTGCTCGTGAACATATGATGTGACATTGAATGAAGAGCCTCGTTAACTATCAAATAAATAAACAAACATTTGTTCACGAAGAAGAAAAATACGGACGCTAAACCCTGACATTTCCTCTGCAGTCCAATGGAACTATGTGCACGTGAAAAAGTCGTCGTGTTATTTTGATCATATTTCTGGTATGATCAAGCTGATCAAGGGATCAAGGGTATGGTCATATGTAAACATCTGCTAATATATTATTTGTTCCTCGTTAGTACTTAATCTGGTAACACCTTTTGATAAACTATTAGTCAAAATATTTCAACTGCTGTCTCTTTTTGAAATGGTATGCCGACAATTTTGATATGGCGAGATAATTTTAAGCGGAATAGGAGTGTGGTTCAAACAAAGTGTTTAAACTTGAGTGCTTAAATGGACGCTTTCACCGTGGTTATCATCTTACCATGAATAAAATAATGGTGTGAAGTTCACGCAAAACGTTGATGAACTGTTATCAGAGATGATGATACTTGACATCTTGATGTATATCCCATTTTTGGTGGGTGTATTTGGTGATGCTGTTGTTGGCGACAAGGCAACCAACGTCTCCTCTTCTCAAAACAAGAATGCAAGCTGCTTTGATTCGGAACTTGATTTCCAGTTGATAGACAAAGATTATGACTCGAAGTTCTGGCCCAACTATAAAGAGGTCGAAAAATGCATCAGCAATCTAGATCCCAACGAGGGAATAGGAGATAAATTACCTCACTCCTGTGCCTATCCAATCGCCATCGGACTCAAGCTGATCGATTTAAAGGACATCAATATCGCCGAAAACCTTATTTCTATGGAAATAGCCTATATGGAGCAGTGGATAGACAATCGAATCATTTTGCCATCTTTTATGAATTCGGAGTGCGTCTCTGCCGATCAGCTACGTTCTGTGATTTATTTAGAACCACTTCATCACTATCGTGCCATCATTTGGTCACCGGACTTTTATATAAGAGGCTGTCTCGGATCTCGCATTTCAAGCGTAATCAAATCATCTGAAGCCCTTGTCTTGCACGACAACAAGATGATCGATAATCTCGTAACAATGCATATGATATTGATGTGTCCTATGGACTTTCAATACTATCCCTTCGATGAGCAAATATGCAATTTTACAATTGAAAGTTATGGAAGTTTCCACAAGAGAATCGCTATTGTATGGCTGCCGAATGGGCTGCAAAAGCTTTCAGAGTTCAGGTTGGAAGGTTATGATGTTGACGTAGTGCAGCAACATCCATCAGTGATTGAGTACGGCGGCTATGTTTTTCCTCAGCTAAAGGCAACGTTCATTTTTCGCCGTATTCGCATTAAATATGTGCTTCTTATATACGTGCCCAGCATGCTGCACTTCGTCATTGCATGGCTGGCATTCTTTTTGCCGAAGGAAGTCTCGCAAGGCCGATGCATCATCAACTGCTCGACAACTTTGTCACTGGTCTCAATGCTGTCGGTGTACACCCGAAACAGCCCACATGGCGGATACGTCAAGGTGATGGACATCTGGTGCTACTTCTCCATACTCTTCCAGTTTGTCTGCACGCTGGATGCCATGATAGACACCCGGCTGCTTTACATGGCTGGTAACATCAAGCGAAACCCCTTAGAGAGCGGCACACGATACGTGTGGGGACTTGTGACGGACACTTCTCATTGGCTCGGGAAGGAAGTACGTCTGGTGCGCACCCGGGACGAGGGGCGTGGTTTCGACGAGACTGCACGCGACATCCGCAGGCTGACGCACATCAGTCAGGCTCAGAAGGCTCCAGAACAAAGTGCAGCAAAGGGGACCGGCGGCACGCTGCGAAACTACCGGGCCTCGCCCCGCTACTACAGGTTCCTGCGACTGCTGGTGTCCTATCAGGAGTGGTCACAGTACATCTGCCTCATGTGGTACTTGGTGTTCCTGCTGGGCTATTATGTTTTGTGCGTACCGTGAGTTGGCTGTATGCGATGGAACTATAAAGTTATTCAAAAGCTACTTGTTTGTTTGTTTGTTTGTTTGTTTGTTTGTTTGTTTGTTTGTTTGTTTGTTTGCTTGCTTATTTGTTTGTTTGTTTTTACTTAGTTCGGATGGTGGAGTAGATGGTCCGGACTCCGGGCCCGGGTGCCCTCAAAGTCGCAATATGAGTATGCTGTCTCCATCAGCCGTTTCATGGCCTTGTTTTACGGCATGCCAACACGGTAGCGATGGGTAGTAGCTGGTCGTGAAACGAGGCCATGTGACCTCGGTGACCGTGAGAGGTTAATGTACGTTTCGTCTATTGCATCAATCTGATAACTCAGCAACTACTGAGCTGATCGAGGCGAAAATGATACTGTCGTGGTGATTTCAAAATATCTACATTTTCATTAGTACAGGGTGTACAGGGTGTCCGGAAATTATTTGCCCCTTCATCAGCTGAACGCCATAATTAATAAACAAAGAGCCCCCGGGTCATTGTTTATTAAATTTATTTATCGATTTATCCCCCGCCCTGTCATTGAAACGGTTGTCGGCTAAGGGCCTTATATCCTCCCCCCCCCCACCCCTTACCATGCTCACGAACAGGTCACGAACGTTTGCGAACTTCGCCATTTGTTTATTTTGTTTATTGAAACTCGTCCGATGACATTACGTGTTCATGAACACGTCTGCTTGTGAACGTCTTGTCCAGTCCGGTCTTTGCTGGACGGCTGCAATAGGAGAAATTATAAGTTGACCTCTCGAGTTCATTGAGGTCAGCGGCGTCACCACGGTTTCAGAACTTCTAGGGACACTTTTCCAGGGCGTCGTCACAAACCTTTGCTTGAGTCTGGTCGCCAATACCGCCAAATCTGCGTTCCTCGTTGGATTTCGGCCACTGTAATTTAAAAACGAGGGAGAATAATTAATATTTAAAGGGACCCTCCCACCTTCAAAAAAGTTAATGGATTGGCATGAAAGTGATGTCGCTCGGTTCAGAAAGAGCAAAAACGAATATCTACCAAATTTCATCGAAAAATATTCACCGGTTTTCAAGATATTAGACTTTTACTTTTGTTTACTTTTTGGGATCTCCGCTGTTCCTAGCGACTTTATTTGAAAGTGCGGCATTTGTTGCGCGCAAAGCAGCATATACCACCGCGTGCTACAAAACGTTTTAGTCAAACATTTAACGGACGTTCGAAAGCCTGATGACGTCATCAGATTCCCGTAATGGTTAAGAGATAGGGACCACGCTGGTCCCACCCTGCAAGTAAAGGGAAGAAATTTTTTGAACACCATAAAGCTGCGGGGGTTGCGACCAGGATAAATGGTGGTTTCTGAGCCTGGCCGCAAACTTGGCTATCTCAACTCAAAACTAATGTTAAGGTGGGAGGGTCCCTTTGATTGGAAAAAAAAAACGAAGAAGTTACGCGGTAGTAGGCATATTCTTCGATCATGAAACGCGTGCCCACATCCTTCTGCCTATGCATGTGACACATTAGTAACTAGTAAGCATTAAATCGTATAATCGGCTCCAACTGCTCATCCTTGAGCTGCTCTGCTCGCAGCTCCTGGGCACTCAGCGCGGCGGTTTGATTCCGATCTCAATGACGGCACAAACCGACCGAATGCACGAGACGAGGTCGATGACCACGGTCACTTTTTGGCTTTGCCCTTCTTTCATTGCCCTCCAAGAGAAACGGCTCAGTCCATCCACGTGAGGTATTTCGGGCCCCGGGCGATGCCGCACCTCGAACTCGGAATCGAGCACGAGCAGCCTCAATGCATCCCTCACAAGTCGTGAGGAGCATTTGGGTTCCGTTGTGGCCTGGAGTAGGTATCCGAGAGCGCTGTTGTCTGTGGTCAGTATGAAATGCCGACCGTCAAGGTAGTAAAAGAACTTCTCGAAGAGCAAAGACGACCACCAGGCTCTCTTTTACCAGTATATAGGCTGCGGTAGCTCGGGCGGCGTCAACACTCGGCTAGCGTAAGCTATAGGGTGAGAGCCATCCTCAAAATCCTTATACAGCGCCGCTCTCAGTGCTCGTCAGCTCGCGTCGGTGTAGACATGAAATGGATATTTTTTACCCGAGAAGTCATGTCCGTGAAGTTAGCGTCAGCAACAGCAACGAATACAGCGTCGGATTCAGAATCGCTTAAAAAACTCATATGAGGTCAATTGGGGGACGGGGAGCAAGAATATGACCTTTATTTGGCCCTAGCTCTTACCCCTTACCCCTTAATCGGCCCTTAAAGGAAGGGGCGCGTCAAAAGTGCCTCAAGGGTTCGTCTGATCGCCAAAATAAGGGTCGCAATCGATTCCTCGGGTCAATATCTAGCCGCAGCCTCGGGTTCCAGATGTGTGCAACTTACCCCTTACCCCTTAATCGGCCCTTAAAGGAAGGGGCGCGTCAAAAGTGCCTCAAGGGTTCGTCTGATCGCCAAAATAAGGGTCGCAATCGATTCCTCGGGTCAATATCTAGCCGCAGCCTCGGGTTCCAGATGTGTGCAACTTACCCCTTACCCCTTAATCGGCCCTTAAAGGAAGGGGCGCGTCAAAAGTGCCTCAAGGGTTCGTCTGATCGCCAAAATAAGGGTCACAATCGATTCCTCGGGTCAATATCTAGCCGCAGCCTCGGGTTCCAGATGTGTGCAACTTACCCCTTACCCCTTAATCGGCACTTAAAGGAAGGGGCGCGTCAAAAGTGCCTCAAGGGTTCGTCTGATCGCCAAAATAAGGGTCGCAATCGATTCCTCGGGTCAATATCTAGCCGCAGCCTCGGGTTCCAGGTGTGTGCAACTTACCCCTTACCCCTTAATCGGCCCTTAAAGGAAGAGGCGCGTCAAAAGTGCCTCAAGGGTTCGTCTGATCGCCAAAATAAGGGTCGCAATCGATTCCTCGGGTCAATATCTAGCCGCAGCCTCGGGTTCACAATGTGTGCAACTTACCCCTTACCCCTTAATCGGCCCTTAAAGGAAGGGGCGCGTCAAAAGTGCCTCAAGGGTTCGTCTGATCGCCAGAATAAGGGTCGCAATCGATTCCTCGGGGCAATATCTAGCCGCAGCCTCGGGTTCCAGATGTGTGCAACTTACCCCTTACCCCTTAATCGGCCCTTAAAGGAAGGGGCGCGTCAAAAGTGCCTCAAGGGTTCGTCTGATCGCCAAAATAAGGGTCGCAATGGATTCCTCGGGTCAATATCTAGCCGCAGCCTCGGGTTCCAGATGTGTGCAACTTACCCCTTACCCCTTAATCGGCCCTTAAAGGAAGGGGCGCGTCAAAAGTGCCTAAAGGGTTTGTCTGATCGCCAAAATAAGGGTCGCAATCGATTCCTCGGGTCAATATCTAGCCGCAGCCTCGGGTTCCAGATGTGTGCAACTTACCCCTTACCCCTTAATCGGCCCTTAAAGGAAGGGGCGCGTCAAAAGTGCCTCAAGGGTTCGTCTGATCGCCAAAATAAGGGTCGCAATCGATTCCCCCGGTCAATATCTAGCCGCAGCCTCGGGTTCCAGATGTGTGCAACTTACCCCTTACCCCTTAATCGGCCCTTAAAGGAAGGGGCGCGTCAAAAGTGCCTCAAGGGTTCGTCTGATCGCCAAAATAAGGGTCGCAATCGATTCCTCGGGTCAATATCTAGCCGCAGCCTCGGTTCCAGATGTGTGCAACTTACCCCTTACCCCTTAATCGGCCCTTAAATGAAGGGGCGCGTCAAAAGTGCCTCAAGGGTTCGTCTGATCGCCAAAATAAGGGTCGCAATCGATTCCCCCGGTCAATATCTAGCCGCAGCCTCGAGTTCCAGATGTGTCCAACTTACCCCTTACCCCTTAATCGGCCCTTAAAGGAAGGGGCGCGTCAAAAGTGCCTCAAGGGTTCGTCTGATCGCCAAAATAAGGGTCGCAATCGATTCCTCGGGTCAATATCTAGCCGCAGCCTCGGGTTCCAGATGTGTGCAACTTACCCCTCACCCCTTAATCGGCCCTTAAAGGAAGGGGCGCGTCAAAAGTGCCTCAAGGGTTCGTCTGATCGCCAAAATAAGGGTCGCAATCGATTCCTCGGGTCAATATCTAGCCGCAGCCTCGGGTTCCAGATGTGTGCAACTTACCCCTTACCCCTTAATCGGCCCTTAAAGGAAGGGGCGCGTCAAAAGTGCCTCAAGGGTTCGTCTGATCGCCAAAATAAGGGTCGCAATCGATTCCCCGGGTCAATATCTAGCCGCAGCCTCGGGTTCCAGAGGTGTGCAACTTACCCCTTACCCCTTAATCGGCCCTTAAAGGAAGGGGCGCGTCAAAAGTGCCTCAAGGGTTCGTCTGATCGCCAAAACAAGGGTCGCAATCGATTCCTCGGGTCAATATCTAGCCGCAGCCTCGGGTTCCAGATGTGTGCGACTTACCCCTTACCCCTTAATCGGCCCTTAAAGGAAGGGGCGCGTCAAAAGTGCCTCAAGGGTTCGTCTGATCGCCAAAATAAGGGTTGCAATCGATTCCCCCGGTCAATATCTAGCCGCAGCCTCGGGTTCCAGATGTGTGCAACTTACCCCTTACCCCTTAATCGGCCCTTAACCCGCGAGTTGCTGGGGGGGGGGGGCGTTAAACGCCCCCACTTTTTTTGCCGGGCCATAGCATAAAAACGGCGCGCCGCAGGCACGCCAAATTTTGGGTACCTGTAGGGAATTGATTGAAGTTTATTGTGACAAAGTTTCAAAAAAATCGGTCGGAAAATTTTTGAGATATCGAGGTTTTAGTGACGTCATGATTTCTGAGTTTTCGACCAAAAACGGCATATGTTCAAAAAATCATATAAAATCACAGAATAGACATACAGACATGCCGTAAACGCCATTAGACTGCCAATACCATGATGAATCAAATAGCTATCTTCGATTATTGATTATCGTTCCGCATTTTCCAAAATCTTGAACTGAATCTTGGCAATTTTTCGTGACTACTTCACGACCATGATACATGAATTTGTTAAATTGAAGTTTTTGAGCCAAACACGTACACATATGATAAAATTAATGTCACCATCGTGTTCT